AGCATAACAAATGATCAGGGCTGTAACACTCACCATATCACCTTTGACCTCTTATGTACAGTATACAAATCACTACATAGCACATCAGAGACTGTGCCCAAGTAAGAACATTCAGTACATATCAAGTTACACTAACTTTCATTATTAGTACATTAAAGCATTAAGTAAGTCTCTCCACCAGTCACCCCTATCTGTCACTAACGCTGTGGAGCACTGGGAGGCCAGGACACCTGCGTCTGCAGCAGATAATGAACATGATGAAGATGGATAATACTTGAGCCTGTCTGAAACATGCTCTCAGTCAGGGAGTGATTACTGTGGTAATTGGGAGCCATGCTGGCTTCTGCTGGATAGGCACTCGCTTGGACTTCAATGTAGAGAGGCTATTCAAGGCACACAGTAGATAGCAGTTTTAAATATAGTTTTATACTCAAGAAAAAGTGGAAAGAATAAAGCCACACACATAAAGTCCACCAAACTGTAACTCACCTTCGATCTTGACTCTTGATTGGACAAAGGATCAAAATGTATCGCTGCTGCAAAAGTTAGCCATGTTAATCAGGGTTTCAATCTGTTTAAACTATGATGATTTGTCTTGCATGATCCTGATCCAAATTTCACCATCGAGTTATTTTAGAAGACTTGTATATAAATCATACATTGTGACGCTAAACATTTTTATCCAACCAAGTACAGTAATGAGTTTTGGTAAGGCCAACTTAAACGGTCTATGCGTTTCTTTTCTTTACTGACCCCGTGTGGCTGGAGTTGATATGCAATCCTAACGAAACATGAATCTGTCAAACCATTATTTTACTATTTGAAATACTATCAAAAATGACCTTGAGAAACAAGAAAAACACGAGGGAAATAAATGTTACACTTGCACTGTGACTTATTTGTTTCCGTCGCCTCTCTGACCCCCTCTATCTGTGCCATAGGCCTGATAATGGATATACATCTCCATACCTCACACTGATAGTACTACTCTGAAAGGATTTCACCAGTGATTTATGAAAAGCCCAAAGTGATCATTACACCGTTGCCTTTTCGGGCCTCACTTTTTCTTCCTGCTTCTGTCTGAGGTGCTGTAGGACTCCTGTGGGAAGGCGGGTGTCCTCCAGGCAGTGTCCTGTGCAGGAGGGTGCAAACTGAAAGGGGGGTGCTGTTAATGACCATCTGCTCAGGGTGCAGCCTTTTTAATGAAGACTGATGTGTGAGGAGTCTAACCAGGGGGTTACAGGCAGGGGTCTAATGACACTATCTCCAAAGTCTGGACCTTCTTGAGCTTCTTTTGTGCTCTGCTGGACTGAAAAACCACCCACTACCTCATACCCATGTAATAATCTCAAGGCATTAAGTAAGCTTTTAATACAAGGACAGTATATAAGATTGTCTGTGGTCTGTATCCCCATATCCAAGGTTGGCAAAACATTGCAAAACACACAAAAAATGGACCTGAGGGCCAACTTGTTTATGTTAAAATTTGGTGTTTTGGTGTTTTGTTTTTATATTGCCATCTGGTTTAAACTAGAAAATTCTCTCTGTGATCTGAATAGTCACTACATGAAACCAGTTATTAATCAGTGCTAGTGCAGCCTCTGCAGCTCTGTGAGTGAATTCTAGAGGTTCTGAGCTTTGAGCCATGGCCTGTCCTTTTGAGAATGAGAAAAATATATGTATGTATGACATATGTATATGTCTTCTATATGCAGGTCAGAGTAGTGACACCCAGGCCAGGTTGTGATTGTAAAAGTATCTGCAATGTTGTAATATATTTAAAGTCATAAATTATATTAAATTGTATTACATTTATATTGTCATAAATATATTATCATAAATTATATTAAATATTGTCACAATAAATAGTGAATAAAAATAACTACACACCTCTTACAATGATTTAAAGTGTTAATCTTCTGAAATTATCAGATGATGTTACAGCATCTACCCCTGCAGGCTTTACCCTCGATGTGTTCCCAAATTAAAAAGCAGCCTGTAGCCTGTAACTACCCCCCTAAACATGGCTGTTGTGTCAGCACTCTTTTTATTAGTCGTCCTTATTTGATAACAGCAGGCAGCAGGCTAAATCTGAGCTGACTAGAAACCATGCTCCCTACTATGATGCCCTTTTCTCTGCCTCACACACTCACAGTTCCTGTAAAGGTTATTGGAGGCGTCCAATGAGATTGATGTATGGAGGCATGAGGCGCTCACAAGCTCGTCTTATCCTCACTCGTCTTCATCTGCTGTTGCTCCTGACAGCACACGGAGCACAGAGCATGAGAGATGGATGGATGGCTTTTTTCTACAGCCTGTACTTTATCAGTAGCACACAACTGTAACCTCCGAATGCCTTGTTTTAGTTAAGACTATGATTGGAAGGATTTTGTGTTAGTTAACAGGGACTATGGGAAAGCAACTCAGATTAACTCAGGGTATAAATGTGCACTGTGAAAATTTTCTGGTGGGGGCTCCACCACATGCTTGTCTTCTTAAAGGTGTTATGGCTTTGCCTGGAATGTTCTACAGTATGACATTAAACTTATTGTGCATTTGTTTTTTACGGATGCCTTGTGAGCAGACTTGCCTCTCCACTCACACCTGCAACTTGGCAAGCAGGACCCTTTAATTGAAAAATTGGGATTTTGAAACTAATTACCCAGACTGGAGGTTGTGAAACCTTGGCTAAACTGACTTGTAATAAGAAATAAATGCTCTTGTAAAGCTATGTTTAACATCTCAGAGAAAACAAAATCCCCACTCAAAAGTAACAAAGGGTGTGATAAATGAGAAATAACTACAACAAGGACTTAAACTTTATGACCCTTACTGATGACCCTCTATGTTGTATTTACATTGACAAAATTGTTATTCATTCAACATTCTACGTTATATAATCCATTTTATTAACACTATCTCTCTACCCTTAAACAAAGCAGTCATTTTGCAGGAACAGAGAAGGCACATGTGGTGACTAAGCTAAGGGCCATAATGAGGTATAGCACTGATGAAGTACACTGTAGTGCTCTTGAAAAGATCAACATCGCCTTCACTAACCTTGCATTTCACTTGAACTGTCATTAGCAAATCAAAAGCAGATTAATTAATCACAGGTTCACTGGCGAGTGCATTACCTTAAGTGACTATTGTAATATAACTTGAAGAGAAATCACTGATGATTCTTCATTTTGACATGGGAATGAACGCTTTACTGGTTCCAGAAGTGCTGATGCTGTCACCGAGGGAGAGAAGAGAGGTACAAAATGCCCTCAGTAAGTGCTCTATTACAGCATTAATTCTGCTCCAAATGGAGCTCTTCACCAGCGGTCAACACTTAGTTGTCACCTCCTCATTTTTTAAACCTTACAGCTCCTGCGCCCAGCCCCTTTCTCCTCTTCCATTCTGCTGCAAATCACTTCCCATTTGCAAAGAGAAGGTCTTGGACTTTGTAAGGACGATGATGTCACACATATGGACTTATTCACTGTGAAAACTTTCTTCAGCTAATCGGGAGAGAGATGTTGCTCTATATAGCCTATGAATATGTGAACCCATGGCTGTGGACTTCCGTACCATGCTGACTCTACCCATAGTTTGAATAGTCAAATGTCAAATGCTCAAACTTAGAATAGCTTACTGTAAACTGTAGACTATTAAGAACTGTTAACAGTAGCATTTGGGTGGGTGATTTAGGCCCCTGACCCTTATTATTTAAGAATGTCCCATTTTTCATTAATGCCACATGCCTTATACATATTCATTATACAGTGTTTTTTTATTTATTATTATTATGACTTTATGGGTGTACTGTCTTTCAGGGCTGTAATACCTATTAACAATAAATTCATTCATTCATTCGTTGTTGCTTGAAATCGTAATCGTCATTTAGAATTAAAAAATCATCAATAAGTATTATTATTATTTAGTTTTTATTTTTTTGTTTACAAAAGTAAAAGTTACAAATATAAAGTTAAAATCTTACCTTATGCTGGTTTTCTTTGCTTTTCTTCGGCCTTATTACCCTTTGGGTTACAACTTAAAAATGTTACTGCCTCCCATTTCTGTACTAATAGTATCCCCTGCTGGCAACAAAAGGAAAAATAAACTGAAATGTTAAAAAAGATACATTTTGTTACTCAAAAATATGTGGAAAACCTACCACTCGATTTAGGAAGAAAGTATAATCAAAATGATTGATACGCACATTATTACAATTGTGTAGGCCTATTTGTTTGTTACAGACTATAAAACAATGCGCCCCTTTACCACCAGAGGTCAGTACAGACACACACAATAGCCTCAGTCATTTTTGTGAGATATATTTTGTTGTCTTAGAACATTTCTAATTGGTAAATTTTGCTGACCAAGAAGGTCGACCAGGTCAGAACGTCAATGAAACAGCAGATTCTGCCCTGCATGTTCTTCACTTTGATTATGACACCACTAAGCTAGGCCTATATCTGATCTAATGGTAAACTAAATAAATAGCTTCTTATATTTACTTTTATAGATTTTTTCCCCACTAGTTCGGTCACATTGGTGAAGGAAACATACCAAAAGGAAATCGAGTTCATAAAAAGAAGAAAAAAGACAGCACTCGCGTAAATACCGCAGTCACCATGGTGAACACGCGCATGACATAGCAAGCGCTTGACCAAATGTGGTAGCAAGAAGTCAAATGAACGGCAAATGTTGCAAATGTGTTGTCATAGGGCTAAAAAAAAAAAAAAAAAAAAAAAAGAAAACACCTGAGACTGGGATACCACTGTACACTAAACTCCTCCGAGCTAAAAGTTAGAGAATAAAGTAAAATAAAGATAAATATGACATTAATGTAAGCACATTAATGTTAGCACGCTCTATGATAAAATAAGTAGGCTTAACCAATAAATCACTCTTAGTATTTCTGTAGGGCAATCATTATCTTTACGCAAAAAATGTCCAATTTAAGCAAAGGGGACGCTCAGTGGATGCGCGCACCTGACGTACCACACGTCACGCATTACCCGGGCGCAAAGTTTTGTTGTTGAGACACACTTGAACATTTTTAGTAAGCCTAGTCTGTGTTCACTCGCTATTTTAAACGTAACTCCGCGTCAAAGAGAAAAAGTTAAACCTTCCTGGACACAGAAGTAGTTGGGACGCTGTGCTTCAAAGTGGGAACTTTTTTAGTCTTCCCTAATTCTGCTGCGATACAAACTTTGAAAGCCATGCGATCAAAGCTGTATGTTTTAGCACAGATGCACAACACGGGATGAAGCCACAAACCATTCTGATTTGTCCGTTTGGAAAGGTTTTCGTCAGACCACAAGAGGTAAGCTAATGCACCACTAGCCTATCAACTTGACAGCAAAGGTCACCTGGATCTACCTGAGTAGAGCTGAATTAGATACTCACTTTCTGCATGAAATAAAACAAGCCTAAAAGTAGGTATAAGTTATTTATTTTGGTTTATTTCATGTAGCTGAAGCTTTTTGAAGGCAATTGATATTTATCACCTTTCTATTAACATTATTTTCAGCAATGAGTGGACAGGGCTGTCAGCTCCTCATCTCTCCTTGTAATGTGTCTCCATCTATAAGTCTGATTAAGGGCCACCAGTCTCAGACGATCAGATTTCCCATCACCTCACAAAGGACCAGTCAGAGTCCAAACTCAAGTACTGACAAACTACACAAGCTAAGTGGAAACTCAGCAACCACTGTACAAAGCCATACTCCTCTATCTTCACTGAGTCTGAGACGACAGGTGTTGACCAATGGGAGAAATGCTGCTGTGCCACACACCTCAGTACAAGATGAGAGGACTTATTATAAAGGTATGTAAAACCAGATCCATTTTGTTATCACTGTATACAGTTACATTAATATTAATATCTTTGAATGATATGTAATGACACCATTGATTCAAATACGTTTTAAGGCACTACTAAAGGTAAGTATAATAGTAATATACCTGTTTTGTTTTGAGCTGTTTATACATTAATAAATAACTAAGAAAAAAACTAGCTCTGAATTTTTGACTGAAGAAAAAAGAAGGGAGGAGAAAACTCATTAGTGTTTAACAGAGCATAAAGTGTCTGTGCCGTGTTTCTGAGGGAAAGTCCACAGAGTCATGAAGGTTAGGCCAGTGATTTAAAGGAAAATAAACTGTGAATGCTTTAAAGCTGTAACTTAAATTATCTTACATAGTTATTTTTCTGAAAATATATCTGATGTTCTGCAAAGGTTAATTACAAAGTTTATGAAATAGTAAAAAGAACCTAACCAAGACACTCTTTTGTCTTTTAGTCTTAGGAAGTAATAATACAATAATCATGTAATCTGATGAATTTATGAGATATTCGAATTTACACTAAAATCAATCATATGACTCTGCCTTAGCAGGTGTTTCTGTTTCTGGACCTTCTATGCAAGTGTTTGGTCATCCAGCTAGTGCCATTCTGACAGCAGCCCCACCTTTAATCTCCAGTCAAGCCTACCCTGATCCTCATCCCCCACTTTATCCTCCAGGTGTCCCTGCTCCTCACAGCGATGCCAGGTGAGAACCACAATTATGGCACTTCTAAACCATTCTATAAGAACTTCAATCTCTCACTAACATTCATCTTCACAATGTGTTGCAGATCATTATTTTCAAGAGAGTCACTGGCATCAACCACCCTGAGCCAGTTTGAAACACAGTCTGTGTTCAGCAGCAGACATGACTGGCCATATGGCTACCGTGTCCTGCCTCCACTGGGTCCTGCGGCGAGCTCCACCCAGGTCACCTCCGAGGGCAATGAGCAGATCAGCCATCCCCCCGAAACAGCCCTGTCTGGCACCACTATATCAGGTGGTACAAGCACCTCCGCCTCCTTGCCTTCATACTTGTTCGCTGTGGACATTACAAGCCCTAAGCAGCCATGCTCAAAGAAGCGCGCCCTCTCTATTTCACCCTTGTCAGATGTCATGGGTATTGACTTCAACTCAATCATACGCACCTCGCCCACCTCTCTAGTGGCTTATATCAATGGAGCCCGGAGCTCTCCTTCGTCACACCCCACTCTGTCACCTGCTCATTCTGACAGTTATGGTCATTTTCTGGGTGTAAGAGGTTGTTCTATCCCCCAGACACAACCATACATTAACACAACACAAGGCTCTTCTCAGGCGGTCACCAAAAACAATGAACACAACCAAATTCATAACCTTGAATTAGGAAGCGGCCTTGAGAGCCAAATGGCCAACATGATGGTTGAACAAAACTGTTTATCTGATACAGAAGGCACACAAAGTATGAGCCATACCAGCCCAAACTTGATGCCATTTCGGGCTGTGAATCCGGCACATGTCATGATCCATGAACCTGAAACTCCAATCGGGCCGCCTCCACCTTATCATTCCCATCAATATTTTTATAGGCGACACCATAAACAATACTCAGACTGCTATATGCAGAATCCAGCGGCTCCTTTCAGACATGTTGTGAGCTTCTTACCCCAGGTGCCCATGCTGGAGGAAGAGGAGGGTGAGGTGGAGGAGTATGGTGGGCACATGTGCAGGTGGATGGAGTGCAGTGCCATCTATAATCAGAAAGATGAGCTGGTGAAACACATAGAGAAACTCCATGTGGACCAGCGTAAGGCTGAAGACTTCACGTGCTACTGGGAGGGATGCCCACGCAAGCACAAGCCCTTTAATGCCAGATACAAGCTGCTGATCCATATGAGGGTCCATTCAGGGGAGAGACCTAACAAGTGCACGGTACAAAACACACAATTCTGTCTGCTTAGGCTATAGTTCTTTATTGCATGCCATTATAAAAGTATCTATCATCATCTATATTTTGTGCCAATTCCATTGATAGCATTGAGCCTCTGCTGCTGTTTTTGTTTTGTTGCAGCTCAACAAATAAAATGACCTCGCACTAGTTGTGAACTCATTAAGCAGACCCACCTTATTCTTTTCTTCTTGAGTTAACTAATTTAACAAAACAAAGTTTACTTTAATTTATTTTATGTTTTAGTTGATTTGACTTTTGCTATCTTTTTTCTCAGTGCTCACCTGTCAACAAGCATGCAAATTTCCTTCATGTCTAACAGTTGATCTCATAAATGCTTAAGTGCATTGTAATAGAAATGTCTGAAAGTTCTGTTGCATTTACCATTTTCTATCCATTTGAAATGTCTGAATGTGAGTATGTATGAAGGCTTTCAAAGCAGGCGCATGTCAAAAGCTTACTTGTGTTCTTAGTGCTCCATTGAAGTTCTCATTATCCAGCTAAAGCCTTTCACACCAGCGGCTACAGAAAAAAGGCCTCTTACTGTGCCAATGCCTTCAAGTTTTCAGCCAACGGGGACTCATTTGAATATTCATAATTTTCCTATTCTTTAATAAGACAGTCTATTATAACTATGTACCTTTATCCTTTATTCAGTTACTACATTAGCACAAACAAGATGTAGCTCTTCAGATTATAGCACGGCAACTTGTCTGTGTTGACTCTGGCTGCCAGCAGCAGGGGTCTGACAGACTTGGCCATGGTTCTGGAAAGGTGATGGCCTCAAATCTGGCTCTTTGTCTGACTGTTTCTTTGGCCCAAAATCTTGCCATCTCATCAAGGGATTATTTATTGTTTATTTTATATAATGTGACTAAATGTTGAAACACAATTTACTTAATTGTTTGTGCCAAAATTAGCTTTAAACTAGCGTAAAGAAGTATCCTTCATGTAACTGCTTTTGGCATGTCAATTATTAACGTGGGCATACCTGCAGCCGACCTTTTGTACCAAAATACTTAGTTGCCAGTTGGAGTTAACTCTGTTGCCATGGCACCACGGTAGTAGTTGTTGGATGCGTCTGTCAGGCATATCTAATAATTAGCACACATCTGGGGTCAGGAGGTAGAAGTGACACTGCATTCCCAAGAGGCATTTGTCTTTATTCAGTATTTATGGCACACAAGTTTTAATAGTCAACAGACAAAGAAACAGCTCATTATGCATTTAACATTTTGCTACAACACTGCTTTACAGGTCAGGAGGGCAGTTTGTTTTTCACCAAGCACATCTACTGTATTTAAAAAGCATCTTGTTATACAGAAGAACATCAATTTAATATTTTGCTTTAACATCATAACATGTTTTTTTTTTTTAATATATGAGGATGTCTCGTCAGGTAACCCCATCCAGAGAACAATGAGGTGTCTCTTGTTACAGAGTAAAGATAAGGCAGGCCCAGACTTGTACCTGTCAATCCACAATCTCTAACCATGATTGAAGCATCTGTGACCACGTGCCTATTAACTCTCATACAATCAACAGTACTATTTAATCTTTATTAATCATACAGGGAGCTTATGACAGCCTTCTTTAGCAAAGTCTGAATTGTGTGCTTTCTGTTTTTCTTTAAAGGTCCTATATTACACAAAATTTATGTTTTGTGTAATATAATATGAGCTTTAACCCATTTTTACCAGTTGATTTGTGTTTTTTTTCATTCACACATGTTTGAGTAACCCTTTATTCTTAGCCTGTCTATATCTTCAAAGCTCAAAATGCTCTGTTCCACCTTGGGATGTCATGAACCGGTAATTGTCAAGTAAGCAGCTGCCTTTATCTTTAGTTCAGTAGAGATTGCAATTCCAGAGCTGGAATCATCCAGATGAAGGTGTATGAAGTTTAAAAACACAGTAGAGCAGTTTCTGTATTTCCACATGACATCACAGGATGGAACAGAGTGCTTTCCGTTTGAGAGAAGACCTCAGCCTAAATATGCAGGGTTTCATGTGTGAATGAAACAAAAAACAATTCCAGATATGTTCCTGATGAGGAAACATGAGATTATAGTGCAGTATAGGCCCTTCAATAGGAATAGTTAATTTTTTTCTAATATAATTTTATAAATGTTCAATGGCATTGCACCACTATCCTTTTTCTATAGGAAACATATTACTCAATACTTTGTGAAGTCTGTACCATAGTAGGGTTGCCAATGCTGACACTAGATTGGTGTGGAAATGTCAGTCAATCATAATCCAAAATTTCCTGTCACTGAAATCATGACGTTATTGGTATGTGGAATGCAAAGGAATGTGAAAAGTGGATTATTAATGAGAAGTGAAACTATGTGATGGAGTTAGCTCCCATGACTTATAAATCAGTATGTGAGGAATCTGTTCTGGGAGGAAGAATAACATTATCGGACATGGTCTGTGTGTTAAGACATTCCTGACCCCCTGTGAACAAAACCCAGAGCAAAGTCATAACCATCCATCTGTGAACAGATGATTTATAACCCACTATGTTTTATGAAGAAATCATTATTGTGATTGTAATGTTGGCTTGTATCTGAAGTGGATTAAAACTAGTACTATACAGTGCTGTTACTAAGTGGTGCAGTCAAATTATGCAGTGTATGAACATTGACCCCTTCTGGTGGTACTGACAATTACTAGCATAGTCAATTATCTTGGCTATATTAACTTTATAGCATTACGTTTTACAGACATTTTCACTTAGATTGTGCTTGCTATTATTTAATTGTCAGTTACTAATACTACACTATTCTCTGATTTATTATAATAATGGGTGAATTAATATGTCAATATTTTTGGAGTATCCCCATAACAATAATCAGACGATATAATGCCAAACAGAAATGTGCATGTCTTAGTTGTATTAGTGCAGATTTAAGTATCAGTTCATTCTATTTTTACCTCTTATGCTGCTCTTTTTGCAGCATGTTGAGATTTTTTATTACAATTTATACACCAGACATTGAAATATCATTCATAACATTGCTTATAATTCTATGTATTGCTCACCTCTATTTTATTGTAAAGACTTATTTTAGAGTAAACATCCAATATCAAAATGTTTTATTTTGTTCAATTCATATAGTGAAGAATAGTGTCTAATAGCCTCATAACACTGTGTTTGTGTGCCTGCAGTTTGAAGGGTGTAAGAAGGCGTTTTCTCGGCTTGAAAACCTGAAGATCCATCTCAGGAGCCACACTGGAGAGAAACCCTATGTCTGTCAACACCCAGGCTGCAACAAGGCTTTCAGTAACTCCAGTGATCGAGCCAAGCACCAGCGCACTCACCTGGACACAGTGAGTCACACACTCGAAAACTTTTCATGATTGGAAAAAAAATCATGTAATGATTGGAATGTTTTAATCTTTGTCATGTTGTGCATTTGTGGTTGTTCAGAAGCCTTATGCATGTAATGTGCCAGGTTGTGCAAAGAGATACACTGACCCAAGCTCTTTGAGAAAACACATCAAATCTCACTCAATAAAGGAGCAGCAGCTACGCAAGAAGGTGATCCATTTAACACTATACAAAACCCTTACTTTCCAACACCCCCTTTAACATTTTTACAGCAACATGTATGACACTTCATTTTAATTTGATTTATTTATTTATTTATTATTTAACCATGTTGTAATTTTTTTTTAAAGTATTTTACTTAATTAATGTAAAGCTTTATTACCAACTCTAATGTGGTAAATTTATATCCATGTACGTAATTGCCACTTAAGGCAAATATATTAAAAGTTTCATATCAGAGTGTGGCAGCTTTTTCTTACACAGGTTTATGTCGCCATAGATACAGACAAAGGAGATTGTTACTAAAAAAGGACATTTTACACAATCTCTCACATCAACAGCTTCTCTTATTAAAAAACTTAAACACATCTGTGTATTGAAATTGTATCTAACTCTATGAGGCTTATTGTGCTGGGATGTTTGCCAGGGCTACCCAGATTTTAATTCTTACTGTTTTACACAATGTCGGTGTGTAGAATTAATTAGTTTAGTTACACAAAAGAAGAAGGACTTTGTGTCATGGAACCTGAGATACACAGTATGTATGTTATTTAAAAAAAAATAATAATAATAATATGGCTATTTTAGACATACACATATTCTCGGTAAAGATCAATAGAAATCAATTAATGGCTGAATGTATAAGAGAGTCATGGTCAATATACTGTCTGTCAATGCAAGTTTTCATCTCATATGTGTGGGAGGAATAAGGAGGCCTGTAGAATATTTTTACAACAGATCCCTACAGGCTACTCACAGCAGTGATAGTAAGATAGTAAACCTATTTTATCTTTATGAATATTTCCACAAAACATTTATGCCAAGACATGCTTGTGTTGGTAATGTCTTTGTATAATATTTTTAGATGAAATCATCTGTTGATACTGGCCAGGATCTATTGATAGACTGTTTAACCATCCAGCCCCTCCAGCACAGCCTCTCACCCTCGATGAAGAAGGACATCAGGCTGCATCTGCCCTCAGGCTCTTGTCACAGCACAGTCTCTGGTTTGTCCCAACTCATTATGTACATCTGTTAGCTTTAGCATTAGCTTTTATAGTGGACAGCCCTCAAGTTTCATACCTATTTCTTAGCTGCCCCACAGGGACAAAACTCACCTGGCAATTCCCACCTGCTGTCGCTGAACTCCTTACCAGATAATTACAGGTATGCGCCTCATTGTGTCTGAACCATTTGGCACCAGGCACAAGCTCAGAGTATAACCAGAAAAAATGTATCCCTTTCGAGTTAGTGAAATTAAGTGTTATAATAATCAGCAATTATAGTTGACCATGGCTAGCAAGGCTTTTATATTCATTCAGCTTTCTATTCTCTTTTTGGTACAGTCTTGTGCCCTGCCTTTTGATTGCTTAAATATTGGTTGTCATGGCTGCATAGTTATAACCTTATTATTAAAAGCTGATTTTTTTTACCTCTACTTTTTAAAATTGCGGAATGTGGGCTGATGAATGGCACACATTTAAACCAATCTGATCACGTAATATCTACCAAAAGAAGCATTAACTTCACTCCTCTTGTGCATCTGGTTCACCAATGTTCCTACTTGAAATACTCTGTAATTTCACCTGTTATTTGTAAGAATGTTTGATTTAAATACCATACTGCATTTGCCACAGAAAATGACACATTTGCCTGCTCTGCCCACTAAGAAACTTGTCTTTATGCACACACACATCAAAGCTTGTGATAAAGGATTTCTTGGTTGTGAGCAGCCAGATGCTTACAGCTCCTCACTGGCCGCGATTGTTCTCATATCAGCAGTGGGCCAAAGCTTTCGCAGCAGGATTCTGGGTTGACAATCAGCTTGTGAAAGAAGACATTGCCTTGCCTCATTGCTCTCAACCACTGGTCTTTAATGGATGCTATAGCCACCGTCAAGAGCAGCTAAAGAATTCAATAAGTGAATCATAAACTCTAAAAATAATTCAAGTACATGAGAAAAAGAAAAATGCTATAATTCATTGTAATGAAATTATTGTTGTCCTTATACAGTCAAGTAATAATAATATTTAACTCTGAGATTAAATTACTTTTGTTTTTGAATGCATGGCTGACATATATGGACACTAGTGGAACTAAGAAGCTCAAAGTAAATGTGTTAAAAACACTGAACATTTGCGTGTATGCCATCTATTGAATGTCAACTGCAAAGTGGTGTAAGGATTGTGTAAAGCCTACTATACACCCTCTTTGTTCTTTTACTCTCTTTTACTTTAATTTACCTCCACAGGTTGCATAAATTCTACATCTGTATCAGTGAACTAGAAGCATTTGTATTTGTTGTATTGGTTCATGAGGACTAGATTTTTAATACTGTTAACATTTGTGTAAAATCTCTCAGGTTTGTTGATCGCTCCCTTCATCAGCTCTTTCCTGAAGATCAGAGTGGCCCCTCCACCTGCTGCGCACTTCCTCCCACTGGGACAGCCCTACACACCAGTAAGGATCTGAAAAAGTCCTGCCTGACTCCCAGTTCACTGAATCACAAACCAGGTACGCACAGCAGCCACTGTCTCTAAGGAACGTGCAGTACAGAGTGAGGGAGAGAATTTTGAGGAAAATTAAGTTTACAAGTGTGATTTTCACATCTTTATTAGACTATTAGAAACTGTGTGGGTGGTTTGACAATCTGTTTGAACAGATTTTCTCACATTCATGGCAAAATGGATCTTTATGATATGAGGTGGTTGCAGAATATATAGATCTTCACTTACCAAAAACCTGTTGCTTATTTTCACTCAAGACTTAACAGCAACAGCAAGAAAAAACTGCTTGATGAAAAATGTATTTAATTTGATTGTACAGAAGTTCAGTTCACAAAGTTTTCAGATAAAACTAAATTTTGGCATGTCCCTTGTTACATTTATAAAGGGTAAATGTCTTTTATTCGCCAGAACTTGCAGAGCAGATGAACCTGTTGTCTTGTTCTTCACAATATGAGGACATGGCAGCACACACCAGACTGAGTCACCTGATGCAAGTTGATGCCTTTTCTCTTGAGGTCAATAATCCCATTGGGGTTGGAGCAGTCCTTTCTAACAACATTGGAAATTGAAGTGAATTCTATATTTAACAGTTCTTACAAGTGCATGATGTAAGTAAGTGTCCGTCACTGGTTTGTCTCATGAAAAGTATTATTGCATTGCCTGTATGTTCCACTGTATGGTATAAACAAATCTTTCTTCTATTTATTCAATTACAGTTGCTTTTATTGCCAAAACATAGTTTCATCTCCATGGACAAAAGTGACATAGTGCCCCTTTAAAGATTTGTCAATTTTTGTTTTGTTCATGTTGTATTGAAGTAATTTTGATATAAATTGTACTGAAAACATATTTGGCTCTGTGTTAACAGCCTATCTAAATGTTTGTAAATGCACTTGATTGTGCTGAATGATGATGATCCACTTGTGTTTAATTAAAGTTATGACTAAGCTCTGTATGTTGTTTACTGTCTCAATTTCAGCTAACACTTTGACTTATCTTGAGACATGTTGGAACTTATTCTTCAAGACAATAAACGCTCTGCAGTAACAGTTTTTTTCTTAGAACTATGGCTTTGTAACTATAGTAACATGACAGCCTGACAATATACCTCCACACAAGCATGCTAACTTCATGAGACCTTTAACACAAATACTGATGCTATGTAAAAGACATTTGTAAACAGCAGTATGAGCCTGCAAATGGTCATTACTCTTGTCAAGGTTATCAAATTATCAAATGACGGGTAATGATTTCAAGGTTAATAATTAGTTTTATTTATTAGTTTCAGGACAAAAAGAGGCATCTACTACAATGAGGTAGTAGTAGTTTCCTGATTATGGTCATTTCTCTTTGATGGAAATATATTGCAGCCCACTTAATACTTTTTCTAAAATTGGAGTAGAATTTTAATAGCCTAATCATACAATTAGTCCATTAATAAAGCCCTTGGATACCTGATTATGTGTAAATGCACTGATGAGAATAGCCTAGTCAAAGGCCAAATTGAAAGGCCAAATTGTTTTACTTGAAATTAATTCTTTTGAAAAGAGTGTCATGCTTCAGGTTAGGTTTTTTGTTGTTGCCAAGCAACAACAATAGTTTTCCCAAAAAGCATATCAGAAAGACAAAAACTACCACAGACATGGAAGGTTTGTTTGCTTAAGTCTTCTTTTAATCAAATCACACAATTAGATTGTCTTACAGTTTCCTTAATTAGAATTCCAAAAGCTGGTTTTATTTTTTGTATCACGGAAAGTTCTGCAACCACTGATTTACAGACAATTTTAACAATTTGGCTTTGTTGTCTTTATGCAGTCGAGTAATACTAATATTTAATTCTGAGATTAAATTACTTTTGTTGTTGAATGCATGGTTGGCATATATGGACACTAGAGAAACTAAGAAGCTCAAAGCAAATATATTAAAAACCCTAAATATTTGGGTGTATTTGGGTGCAAAGTGCTGTAAGGGTGCTTCTAATTAATTAATTCTGCATGGAGTCAGAAGAAACTAAAATGCAGCTGTTTGGAAACTGCATAGCTGGATAAATAGGGTGATCTATGGTCCCCTGCAGTCATTGACTAGCAGCTGCCATTGGGGAACTTAAAGGAACCTTATGGTCCCATGGAGTCTCCATTTTTTTCTGCTAGCTTTGTTTGTTTATTTATCAGGATAAACAACTGTCAAGGCAATAGGTTATTTCATCTGGATCCTGGGGACCACGGACCATCCTTCAGGCTCAGCTATATTACTACAGAGGACAGCTACGCTAGTCATAAGCTATATAACAGTCTATTGGACATTTTGAAGCGTGATCTAGTTTATTCATGCAAAGAAACGCCCTCACAAAGAGGATTCTAACTAGGACTCCCCGTCCGAATGTGAGCAGGCTTGCATCTCCACAAACATGACTCTTATTTACCCTGGAGGAGGACCCCTCCTGTTACTGTTTCTGGCTACAATATTCCACAGTATGGCATAAAATACATCTAAATGGAGAATGTCCCCAAGTAGGCCAGTGATTTTAAATGGGAACAACTTCTAGACGCTTCTAGGCTATTGAAAAATACTTACCTACTGACATTGTCAGTTACCATGAAACCATGGAAGCAGGTTAATAAAGCCGAATATTAGCGTTTCCATTCATGAGTGAAACGCAAAAAGGTCCTATCTGCAAAAATAGCCTATTTCATGAAAAAATCAAAAACCTCTGCGTTTTTGACGGGCAAAAAATATGTGTTTTTTCGGCTATCGATATAGTTTTGAAAAGAAGGGAATTTCCCCACCCTGAGGTCCGTAGCATGTTCACGTACGATTCTCCTCCCACCTGCCTGGAAGAGGCTGCGCCCGCCGGTCCGCCCGCCCGCCCGGTGAGTTTTATAGCAACAGTTGCCCAGTGAGCAGCGCCATAGTCACCGTAGTCCTGGCGACTGTAACCCACCAACAACAACCTCTCTCCATCATTACCACCTCCTCCACCATCCTCATCTTCATCTACCAGTCCACAACACAGGTTTGAACGATATATTACACTTTTGCAAAAAAATCGCCATATTCTTTATCATAGGGCATTTTGGCAGATGGTGTTTGTGCGTTTGTTCATTTTTCTCCGCTATTGACCGAAGGCTCTGTGAATGGCTGGGTTAGTTTGCTAGCGAGGGTGTTTCTTTGTAACGTGTTAGCTTTTCTGCTAATGCTCCTTTGAATAACCACCACCTAGATTTTGGCCGCTGTCACTTTGTTGTTTCATTGCTTAAAGTCATATGAATCAATGCACCTTCGTGCATTTTCAAAGCATTGATTGTTGTGTAGTTGCATAGACTTGGCAGTTTTTGGTGTTAACACAAGTATGTGCTAGTAGATTGATGCTAGCTGGTCAGCTGGAGCAGGAGCAGGTGTCTGTTGTTGCTAGGTTGCTAAAGCCAGCGTCGCTTCCCACAATGCGAGTCTTTTTGGTTACATTAAAGTGATCATTTAAGTCATAAAGTAAGTTGTTAAAACATTCCATTATATATGTAGCTATACAGATAAGATAAGAAATCACTGTGTGCTAGCTCCCGTACAGTATCAGCTACTGACAATAGCTAAGCCATTACTTTCCCTTTTGTCTTAGAGGAGAGAGCTTCGCTGACAATTCAGCTGCTTTATTCTGTGAGATCAGATGACTTATGATACGCATCAGGGCGACCAAAGTTAGTGGAAAGACAAGAAGTACACGTGTTGGCTATAAGTATTATATTAATGAACAGTCTTTCAGTTATCATCTGTACCATCCTTATTGCCAACACCAGACCTGTAGTTTGGATGTAGGTTTATTATATATTAAAGATTAGTACAATTGTTATTAAAGAAACATACATTTTAAGCGTTGAAACTTGGCCTGGATTTATGCAGAAATGCCACTGCAATTGTTAGAAATGAAATGTTACTCCAACTAGTTGATGCCTCTTGTCAGCTCGATACATTTGTCTCATAATTAATCAATACAATGGCATTACTCCTTGTTTAGTCTTGTGAGTAGAAGCTTGAATTTTTAATTTCACAAAGTTGCATCACATTTCTAGATTAGTTATACTATTATGTGTGATTTATACAACTGTGTTAGCCACACAAGTTAACATGTACTAGAGTGTTTCTCTCTTAGACTACATATTATTTTTGGTTATTGTAACTGAATCTGTGATAGATTGATGAGAGCCCAGTGTATTTGTTCATACCAACTGTAGATTATTATCATTATATCAAACTACATATAGCCTCAAAATGAAACTCTGCTGGCACCCTCCCAAATTGTGCACACTTTAACCCACACACAATGCAGGATGTTGGGAACTGCTAGTTATCAGCTCATGTTACCACTTACCTGTAGTCCGCTAGAGCAGAAATAGTACCATGCCACCTGCTGCCAGGATCCTGTTGCATTTCCAATCACTTAAAGAGGGGCTGATTAATTCAATTATTCAGTCATCCATTTTCATGGCTTAGCAAAATACAGAATGTTGGGTCTGTTTCTGGCCGCAGTAAGACAGTTTTTAAAATGTGAAATTTGTAGAACTCAAAAGCATAATATTTGGACTTTAAAAATGTGTAATTGTAAAAATGTTGTGTCATTTTGAGCAGTGGCTTGTTTATTTATTTAATCAAGGATGTAAACTACATACATTTCCTTCTGTACTTTTATTGTTCAGAATTTCAGACTTCACCTTTGCATTTGATAATTGAATGCAAATGTACTATTTTTGTCATATTCATAATCTTTTTTATGTTAACCAAATCTGATCTAAAATCCTGGCCAAAATGTTGTCCTCCTTGGTGGCTTTTGTTCCTCTGTGTCTTTTGTAGGGCTCGCACTTGCTCAGTGGAGCACAGCGTTTAAGTGGGCCACAGGGGAGAGCCTGAATGGTGAGGCAGGAGGTGTGTGTGTTTGTGTGTGTGTGTGTGTGTGTGTGTGTGGAGGGGGTTGGGGTGATGCAGGGACTCCTTTTGTACATAGGTAGACTTTCTTAGTTTGGGCCATGCATTTAAAAATATCTACATGGTCCTTTTACAAATTCCTAACATTTTATGTGGGTTTCAGCATGTTTTACTATTGTAATTTGTGTGAATATAATTTTGACAACAGTAATGATGTAATAATAAAAATTGTTGTTGTACCTTTTGAGAGTGATGCCATAATAATGATGTATTGTGTAAAGAAGCATCAAATCACCATTCAGCTCACCTAAATCCATATGTAACATGATGTGTTAGTGACCAAATGTTCTAAAAACTTTTATTAACCACAACATGATGCAAACCAGCCAATGGCACAAGAATGAGGGAAAGGGCCAGGTAGTCCTTGGAGAGCCTGGAAGTAGTTTGGAGAGCGGTCTTAATTAACCAAGAGAGGCTTGTTTATGGAAACTGCAATGGGAGGAGAGGGCTGCCCGTGGAAGCAATGGGTGTTATCCATGCTATTATTAACTCACAAACACAGGTTTGCCTTTAGTTCAGTCTTTCATTGTTTTATCTTATTTTATCTAATTTATATTAAGGTAGCCTTGATATTTTTTTCACAAATGAAGGTTCTTTTATAGCAGACCAGTATATTGTTTATTTACGTAAAAGAATCTTTGTTTGGAAATACAATTTGATAAACAAATTATTAAGGATTTTTGGTTATCTCTTAAAAACTATGGGAAACATTAAAAAAAAATCTTATTCATGCATACAGAAAGCCATTGTATTAACTTGATAGAATTGCAACAATTACTATTTAGATTAATTATTTGGACTGTTTATTAATAGTTAGGTAATTAATAGTTATTGCTAATTGTAAACCTGCAAGTCCCAGACTATGACATGTGCTGAGCCTGAGACAAGAAGTTTTTGTACAATACCATTTGTCATTTTGTCCTGATTGTCCTGATTGTCAGGAAAAATAACATATTACTCTATTAAGAAGAGGAGTATTTTCATTTTAATTTGGTTATAATATAAAATAACACAGAATCATTTGATTAATACACTAATTAGCGAAAACTGTGAACAACTAAAATCTTTACGTATGGTCATACCAATGTAATAAAGAAAATGAGACAACATTAGCAAGATATTTCCTGAATTTCCACCGACCAGAAGTTTTAAGATTCAGAGAAGGAGATGAGGAAGATGACTCAAGATTGTGCAACTGAAATGTAGCACATTAGGGAACATGGTTTAAAGTACAAATATTAATTAGATCTTTTAACAAACAATAATGTCAATATTATATCATTTCTATTCTTATTATGCTATACAAACCTTTGGATGTCTTTTTCACATGTAAATGCGGAAACTATGCTGCAACAGGAAGCTGCATTTATTTGGAGTTTGTTAAAAATTAACTTGTTTTTATGGCGGTGAACCTGGAGACAGGACCATGTGCCACTGATGCATAAGGCTCTCAGTACATGGAGTACCATAAGAAAGGAACAGATGCTTGGATTAAAATGCTCTGTACCTGTTTAGAAGCATGTAAGACAAGAGAGTTGATGTTCCAACAAAAGCATTGCCATTTAGTGCACTTGGTCAGCTGACATTTAAGTCACTTCCTAGTGCTATTCCTATATTGGCTACATTTGAGATCAAGTAACTGTTGTGTTTCTGTTGGTCTCTAATTAATGTGTGTTCTTTAGGCGCCATGCAGACCCCTGAAGCGGGCGCTGACTCCACCTCCACTGTCCCCCTTCAGACCACTGTGCCTGTTCAGCCTGCAGGCTCCTCCCAGCAACAGGTACAGTCTCACGTCACAGTGCTTCTGTGCTGCCCTCACTGCCACACTTACAGAGTGCACGATTTCAATAAGATGCCTGTTCATTTATTTTCTGTGATTTGTGTCTTACCAGGCCCAGACTGTTCAACAGGTTCAGCATGTTTACCCAGCACAGGTGCAGTATGTGGAGGAAAACAGTGGGGTTTACACCAATGGAAACATGTAAGTGTGTCCTCGCTAAAACTGGGTCTGAAAGTCTGTTTGTCCTCTCAAGTACTCATTCATGTCACTCGCACATGCTCCAAGTTTGAGTGTGCTGTTGCTTGTATTCTATACAGTTGTATGTTTGTGAAGGTCACCTGAAAATGACCTGAAGTAGGCAAAAGTCACAGACGCCAGCCTCAAAGTGAGGATAACTAAGAGGAGCGAAAGAACACAGGGAATAGGGTTATGCACGCACAGCAACAGGCTCAAGCTGTGTTTGCTGAGCTGAGCACACACTTAGTGCATGTGAAGATGCATTCAGGTAGTGTAGCCACACTTGGTACACAGTAAGTAACGCATCAGCAATATAACCTCAAACAGCTAGCACCATGCGTGAACTAAAATGTAATAACAGAGTGACCGCCCTTATTACCATTAGTGATCCATGTACAAAACGAGTGAATCACTCACAGATATAAAGGATGAACTTAAAAGAAAACTGGCAACAGAAGGAATATTTTGTTGCCCAATTGTTTTAAAAAATGATGTCATTGTTGCAAATTGTTGTAAGAGAGAGAAATTTTTTTCTTTTGTTTTATTCCGTATCTTATTTTTTCCATTAAGACCGGTACATTATTGAATATTGACAATATTTTAACACATTCCATCTCTTTTAAACAGAAGATCTTACACATACTCAGAGACGCAGCTGTATAGCCAGAACAGTGGAGGGAGCTATTTCGACACCCAGGGGAGTTCACCACAAGTGTCCACAGTGGTCACATCTCATGGCCTGACCAACAATGGAGGAGGTGGCAATGGAGGCATGAGCATAGGCCTGACAGGGGCTCAGGTAATCAGCAGCACTTCTGGGGGCTACCTCATGGACAACACTGGATCCCACACTGCGACCCAAGCTGCACGAGCTTCCCCAGCCACTGTAAGTCTGCAGCACAACTCTGCATGTTTGTTTTTGGCCTTTTGAGCAGGCCATGTCCTTAGTCCATCACAGAGATTCAGCTCCCCCTTGTATGTAAGCAAACATGTTTTAATCATTGAGACTGTTCATCATCACTGTACACCTCTTAGACATTTAACACTACACTTTTGTCTGCATGTGGCAGTGCTTGCTTTGGTTATCTTTTTGCTGGGTGCTTAGAAATGGTCTTTGATACTATACTTTTTTATTTTATTTTTTATGTTTTTGTGCTTTTTCGTGGTTTATCAGATTGAAATGGCGATTGAGACGCTCCAAAAATCTGAAGGTTTATCCAGTCAGAGAAGTTCGCTGCTGAACAGCCATGTAAGTGCTAGCCTTTGCCTGACTTTGGCTTTCATCTTGCCTCCTTTGCCTCCGTCGGCCTTCTTCTCTCTTTCATTTAAAATAGATTTTTGTTGCTGGTTATTAGAATTTCCCGTGCAGTCATACCATGAGTTATTAGCATTAACATCTTGCACATACCCTTGTGAGTGACACTGCATGTGTTCTCTTGCAGCTTCAGTGGCTTCTGGACAATTATGAGACGGCTGAGGGCGTCAGTTTACCACGTTCCACACTCTACAATCACTATTTACGCCACTGCCAGGAGCAGAAACTGGACCCTGTCAATGCAGCCTCTTTCGGCAAACTCATTCGTTCAATCTTCATGGGACTACGCACAAGGCGCCTTGGGACCAGGTTAGTTGTTTATTTTAATTTTTTTTGTTATGATGTTTTGTTTCTTGGTCTTAAATACATTTTGCTATGACAGAGGGAATTCCAAATACCATTACTATGGTATACGTGTGAAGCCTGATTCTCCACTCAACAGACTTCAAGAAGACATGCAGTATATGGCTCTTAGACAGCAGCCTGTTCAGCAGAAGCAACGGTACACAAGTGTTAAAACCGAAGAAGTTGTATAACAAGCTCTATTAAATACTGATGAACCTGACTGATTCCAGATTTAAGCCAGTGCAGAAGTTTGACACCAGCTCCGGGGACAGTTATTCAGGAGGAGGCCAGCACCAACCTGGGGTGGCAGAGCAGACAGTTATTGCACAGAGCCAGCACCACCAGCAGTTTTTAGGTTTGTTTTTACACCATTTATTTTATCAATTTTAAATTCATATTGTGATATTAGTTATTTATTCATAAAATCCCATTTTATTAAAATCCTTTTTAGATGCATCTCGAGCACTACCTGACTTTATCGAGCTGAATCTTGGACAGAGTAATCTTGAAAATATCAGTCAAGAGGATGTGAAGGCGCTACAATCACTTTACCGAGAGCACTGCGAGGTACCATCAAGTATACAGTGTGGTTAAGAAAAGGGGATTTCAGTGAAGTGATAAAATATCTTGACTTTTCAGTACAAATAATAATCTTTTGGAATTCAGCCATTAGCAGCACTTAGTTTGAGGCTGGATTTAGAATATGGAAAACTTTGGGAAAGGTTATGCATGTTTATAGTGACAGATTAATAAATGCCATGTACTGACATTTGAGATGTGTTTTTTCATCATGCAATTATAGTTTCAAAACCTAATAGCTTTGTCACTGCTGTTAATTCTGCATAGAATTGCATAAATGAAATGTAATTCTCTTGTTTTTAGGCTATCTTGGATGTGGTTGTAAACCTTCAGTTCAGTCTCATTGAGAAGCTGTGGCAGACATTTTGGCGTTATACTCCTCCTGATTCAGCAGAGGGTGCCACAGTAACAGAAAACAGGTACTGATACATTTCTTTGGACCTTGTATGTGATTTTCAGTTCTTGTGTGTGCTTGTGCACACAATGGTTCACAGTTCAATTTAACAAAATGCCGTTTATCATCAGTTGAAAGCAAAGTATCAGCCTTTTCAATAATAACTTGGGAATTAAACATTTTAAAATTTCAAGTACACCCTCACACAGCACACCTAATAAATAATTAGTCCATCGCGTACAGTTTTGTGACTTCATTTGTATGTTGGCACTTATTTAGAACCTGAACAATTTGTGGAAAGAAGCTATTGATGTCCCAAGGCTGGAAATAGCCTTTTGCAGCATTCACTGTGTTAGAAAAACTGTACAGGTGTAATGCCCCATTTATTCCAAATAATGTGAACCATGTGCAAGGGACTATCCCTGATAATTGTTACTCTGTCATCGTATAACATTAGAATGAGAAGTGTGAAGAGTCCGTCAGTCATCCAGGTAGAATCCATGGCGAGGAGAAAATTCTTCAGTTCTCAGAACTGAAGAAGCAGCTTGGATGAGCTGCGAAACATCTTCAACCAAACTAATTTTTGTCCAGTCGACAAACTGAATTTTCTCCTCGCCATTAGAATGAGAAATGGGACTAAGTGGGCAGCGCATAGATAAATATGTATGTACAGTATGTATGTATAAAGAAGTGGACTAAGCGTGTGTGACATCGGCCATAGCGTTCAGCTCCAGTTAAATGAAGCTTGCCATGTTAACGGTTACAGGGACGAATTTGGAGCCAGGCTCTATATTATAAATAGGAATTTTTAATGGACAAAATAGCAAGAAAAAAACCCACCAGGATCATGTAGAGTGGGTTTATATGAACATTTTAAGACCAAACAGACATGGCTCACTGCAGCAATTACAGAGAGAAGGGTGACAATGTTCCAATGTCAATGGGAGCCAGGGTCAGAAGGAGCTGGAATCGCCTGCATGTGAACTTCCTACTTGGAATGCAGCAGTTGGCGCGTTAGCTATGCCCATTTATATATACAGTTTATGGGGCAGCGGTAACAATTAAACTGACTTAAAGTTCAGATCTCATTTTAAATAATAAATGTTGCACATAGCTCATCATTTGCATTGCCCATTGTTCCTAGTTTTATTTTCTTTGTATTCTGTTGGAGAATTTGTTAATTTTGCAACTTTGTCCTCTTAAAACTGAAAACACTGAGTTAAACACTGCCTTTTGTTCATTCATAATAAATGTGTTTACAGCAGCATAAGTGAGATTGAAGGCCGACTCCCACGTTCACAGCTGATAGTTCTGTGTCGAAATGAATCTGTTCTAAAATGGATGAGCACCTGCGACCATCTCATGTACCAGGCCCTTGTTGAGATTCTCATTCCTGATGTCCTGAGACCAATTCCCAGTAAGAACCTCCATTAATTTCTCTTGTGCTTTTGATAATGAACTGTTTTCAAGACTGCCTTGCTTTAAGGTGCCTTGACTCAAGCCATTCGTAACTTTGCCAAAAGCCTGGAAGGTTGGCTGACTAATGCCATGAATGCCATTCCACAGAGAATGATACAGACCAAGGTATAACAGTTCAGCTTGTCAGAAACTCAACTCTAAGCTTTGTAATACTGGAATATGTAAATTTGTTTATATAAGACTTTTGTGCCTGTCCTCTAGATTGCCGCTGTTAGTGCCTTTGCACAAACTTTGCGCAGATACACATCCCTTAACCATCTGGCTCAGGCAGCACGTGCTGTTCTGCAAAACACCTCCCAAATCAACCAGATGCTAAGTGATCTTAACCGAGTGGATTTTGCCAATGTGCAGGTCAGTTCACCATTCTTTTGTGTCCTTTTTACAGCACCCTAGATTTCACCTAGCCCTGATGCTTGGTCTTTTACATGTTAGCTCATGTCTCTTTGTGCATGTGGTGAACAGGAGCAGGCCTCATGGGTGTGCCAGTGTGAGGAAGGAGTGGTGCAGCACTTGGAGCAGGACTTCAAAGCCACGCTGCAGCAACAGAGCTCTCTGGAGCAGTGGGCTGCTTGGCTGGACAACGTGGTCACTCAAGTGCTCAAGCCCTTTGAGCATCGGCCTAGCTTCCCCAGAGCTGCCCGACAATTTTTACTTAAGTGGTCTTTCTACAGGTTTGTCCTTTCATTTCTTACACAAGTATTTACTGGTTATGTCAATGCTAAATGTCTTTCTTTACCCTCAGTTCTATGGTAATCAGGGACCTGACCCTGCGCAGTGCTGCCAGCTTTGGCTCATTCCACCTGATCCGTCTGCTCTATGATGAATACATGTTCTACTTGGTGGAGCACCGTGTGGCCCAGGCCACAGGGGAGACGCCAATTGGTGTCATGGGCGAAGTATGTTCACGTTATTTAAATAGTCCTTATCCAGAATCTGATTGTTGGACATTGATTGATGAACTGTACCTGTGGTTTCAGTTTGACAGTCTGAACAGTTTAACACTCACAAACATTGACAAAGGTTAGTGGCCCTGGGATATAATGTATTTGATTTATTAATTCAGTCATATGACCAATTTTTTTTCTTGCTGACTAGATGAGACAAGTGGAATGGACAGTGACTTGGAGGACGACACAGACACTTGTGGTGAACCTTTAGCAAAGCGGGAGAGGTCTGAGCATGAAGTGATCCAGGTGATCCAAGTGGGAGCCTTGGAGGATGGCTCTCACCCTGTGGTGGGGGTGGTCCAGCCCGGTGTTCTGCACTCACTGCCCCAGCCTCCTCCAGACCACAGTGAACACATCCTAACCCCATCATCTGCGACACCCACTATTCGCCACTGCAGCGCCACGGGCAACACCTATGCCTCTGTTTGAACATGTTGGGGCCGACCTTTTATGCTGTCTCACTAATTACATATCTCTTCTGTATACATGTTTGTGTGTCTTCATGCTCTGTCTGTCTGCACTTGTGGGGGAACTCTCTTTCAGTTCAGCCTAGTCACGTGAGGACTGCTGACTGTTAAGCCACATTGTACTGTCCATGTCCAACTGCTCTGTTTCTGGATGTGGTGTTGTCTAGCAGTCCTGTGCTCTTATATAGTGTGCCAGCCCTTGGGAAAGACTTGGAGGAAAAGGAAAGTTTCACCCCTAAAATGTGAGCTCAAATCCATGTCACTAGTCCCAGGGAAGTAAAGTCATTCACTCAGTCATTATTTCATAACATTTCTTATCATGTGCTTTTCCTGTATTTGAATTGGTATTACCCCAAATCATGGTGCTATTGCTGTTCTTTTTTGCAGTCCATTCTCATTTTGGAAGCATTCATAACAAGCATACTAACATGCAACTGTTGGCTGAAATGAAAATGAGTATTGCATGTAGCCAACAAAGAAAACTGGGTGGGTAGAAAAAATACTGATGGGGTTGTCGTTGGTTGTCACTTGCTAGTAACTGTTGATAGCTTTTAGCAAGAGGAAGAGCTTAAATGTGTGCTGCTTTTTTAAGTGTACATACGAGTGGGATTGGACAGACTGACTTTCTCTATGCTAGCTTTTTTATGCATTTGATGCATAACGCTTGCCTTTTGTTATTTCAATGCTCTGTAGTGTGTACTGGGCATGTTTCTGTTACTTGTGATGTTATTTAAGGACCAAAAACAACCCATCCAGGAAGGAGAGCTGTTTCCTGTCCCATAGTGCCATGTTGCAGAGCAAAACGAATGTCAGGGATTATATGTACCTCGGCTTTATCATAGTGCCTTATCCTAAAATGCAGCTGTCCTTGAGTGCTGTCTGTCTGGTGCAGAGTCCACTGCCTTTCTGTGTCGTCCCAGCCACACGTTTGGCTTTCTGGTGACTTGTGGCTGGATTTGGGCTGGCTCATTAGTGTTGAGACCTAGGGATGGGCTCTCTTCTCTTGACCAGCACTACAAAGCTTCAACATATCTGATTCTAAATCCTGTTTTTAGCCTTGTTCCTGCCCCCACTCTGCCCTCTTGAGGCCTGTTCTTGCATTTGTCTTTTGTTAAGGGTGAAGTGTAAGTACGTATGTGTGTGCGTTTGTTGACTGTACTTGTGTGTTTGAACACATCCATCAGTCGCCCTACCTCAAACCAGTGGTGCCAGCCCTTTGACGCGTGCAGAACACTCTCCTGACCTTATTGTGCACATCAGCATTGCTTTTCTTAGACCTTTGACAATGTTTTCATTTGACATTTATCCCTTCACAAACTTCAACATTTCTGTTGGATGATCTTTGTAAACTGGATCAAACATAGATATTTTCTGATATTAATTCAAAGAGATATATAGAATCTTATATATATATATATATATGTATAGTATAAGAAATGATAACCATTGCAAATATATGTTTCTTTTTATGTGGACATTGAGTTTATGTTTTTTTCTGTAGCTTCTCTGTAATTAACTCATTAACTCTGTGACTGTGATCAGAAAAAGCATGGGAACTAACTGCTCATTCATTGGTCTTCATCTATACTTGAACTCTTATAGCCTTCTACTGTATGTGGTGGAGAAATGTGAGATTAATCCTCTAAATAGGAACTCTTTCTACTATTTGTTTAGGTTATGTTTTGTTTACTTTTTTGTCTTTAAAAAGTTCCAACACTTAATTTTTTTCCTCAATATTTATTTATTGATATTTATTGTGTTTTATGCTATGGTGGATTATTCTCTGCGAAAGATCTACTGTACAGGACTGGATTGAGAGATTGTGGTGTATTTTTGTGACGTGGAATGTTGATACTGTTTTGCTGTACTGACAAATCTAGGACTTTTTGATTTAAGAGCTGGGGTTTGTTCCTTCCTGTGTCATTACATTTAAAGGGAGACAAGTGCAAATACTGTGTTTTTTTTTTTGTTTTTTTTGTTTGTTTGTTTTTTCCCCCCCTTTTTTTTTAATATGTATAACAAGGGAATTGGCCTGAAGTTTGGGACTCCCAAAGCTGCACTGCATCCCCTAGAAATGAGTGATACGCATAATGATTCTGTAGCCTTACCATGATCCTGATAGCTTGAAATACCTGGATTAGTTACTCTGAAAAAGTGTGCTTGTACACTTAAAACATTTTATTTCTAATAAAATATGGATAATGTGCTCATTTCTGGTAAGTTTTGTCCCATCTATCAATTACTGCTGTTACAGAAGAGGTCTTTTTTCAACCCAGTGGTTTGTGAATGCAGCTTTGAATGTCCTTCTCACAAGAGGCTTCAGATGCATTGTGCAACAGTTTTTCTTCGCCTGCTATAAATACTGTGTAGATGCAACTTTGTATTATTTTTGTGCCTGAGGTGTTTTGTAAATTTGATTTTAAACTCTAATGGTTCGCTTTAGGAACATAAGTGCTTTCTTGTCTTGCACGTAAATTATGTGCTGCTAGTTTTTAAAATATTTTCTTTAATATTATTTGAAGACTGCACATGCCAGACAGTGATTTCTGCTTACTAGAGTCTACCTGGTTTACTGATGCTGTTGCTGCCAACACATTTGTATTTTATGATTCAAGATTGTTTTTGTATAGGCTGTTTGAAAATGAACCTGTTCTCAACTGTCATGTGCTACATTCTGTATAAATCGCAGAAGCTGTCATTGAAAAGCGTTGTAAATGTCTCATACTCTGGATGGCAGTCTTACTGACCCTCAGCAGACTCTGGTGCCTTTCATTTTAGCCAGGCCAGAGCAGATGGCCTGGGTGACTGTTGGGTAATGGTGGACTATAGGGTTGAGCATTGAGGAACCCAGGGCTGTGAACACTGGATTACAATTATTCACTGAAAACGACACATGCAAACTAGTTTACACTTGGTCCTTAACCTTCAGACAGCTTTTTATTGTATAGGACAGTTAATGTAAGTGAAAAGAGCTCTTACGATTTTACCTTGTTCTTTTTGTCAAACTGATATTTCCTGAATGCTGTGAGCTGTTTTGATATTTCTATTTGGATGTTTTCAAGTGCCATTTGACAGTGACTAGTGAGTCGTGGCCAGCTGTAGCACGCACTAATGCAAGCACAAGCATTTGGCAGTGGCATTTGGGAAGGTTTTGATTTTGATTTGCCCAAGACAAAATATGTAAATATCAAAATATATTTATTTGTGTCCTAATTATGATTTGTGAACACTCCTTTCTAACTTAAGTGCTTTGTGTTTTCCTTTCTTACCCTTTTCCTTGATTATGTATATCTGATATATATTACAGATTTAATGTGATTTTCTTTTTGTGTTGTTTTCTTAATATAATGTAGTTTCTTCAACTGGCAAACAAACCAATGCCTGTAGGGTGATTTGTATTGTGTAGTTAAAAAAATCAAGGATGACTGGGGGACTTTTATATTTATAAAAAAAAAAAAAGTTTAGTGTGTCGTATTGCTAATTGTAGAAACTATTACGGACACATGTAGTTTGTTTTTTCTCTGAATATTTCAGATCTCAGCTCAGGCTAGCTTCTAGTGTTGTTTTCATAAGATTTGTGACTTGTCTTTGCAGTAATAAACGTTATCTTGTTCAAAATCAAGTCTCACCTTTGCATTTTGAAAGCATCATCTTTACAGTAGGTAATGTGAGTACAAATGCCAATGAGAACAAGATTTTGAGAGAATTATGAATTAAGTAGGACAACATAAAACTTATTTTCAAATGTGGAAGAAACCAAAAGCCAAGTACCTAATGATTTAAGCACTTAGTGAGTATTAGTGAAGGAACCCTAAAACAGAAAATGGTTAATGACTGAAGGGGACTCAAAGAAGACAGAACTAGTGAATATAAAGCACTAGTGTTAGCCCATTACATTTTATTCAACCATATTCATACATATAAACACCAACATAATTCAAACTTCAGTATGCATGACATATTTGTAAATATTATGAGCATGAACTTGCATTTCCTGAAAGATTTACAACTTTTTTTTTCTTTTTTGTAATGGTTTTATCACTGTAAAGGTAGCAAAATGTATAAAATACTGCAACACAGAGCTGCAAGAAGATGGAAACAAAATTCTTTGCAAGCAACATAATACTGACATGAATGTAGTTGGATGACCTCTCACCTTTTAGATATTTGGCTTCAGTATGGCTTACACTCCCTCACAGTTATTTCCTCGCTTTTTCATTCAAAATGTTATCTTACTCAAAAGTAATCATTTTAGGTTTCTTGTAGTTAAGCATTACATATAGACCAATCACTAATAGGTGTGGTACTGTAGAGTCTGACAGAAAATTAATTTTTTGACTACACTAGATGAAAGTGATCAATATGCAAAAAATCCATTAAAAATCCCTTTAAACCACACTTTAACAGATCTGAACAATGAGCAATAAAAATGAACTATGCTAAAACTGTATATGGAACAATTAGTAACCACAAGCAAAACTATGCAACAAGACAAAACTTGTAAAATAATAAAGTGCTAATCTGGACACTGGAGTTCTAATAAAAAGGTTTTGTACAAATAATAATTTCCTTTCTGTGGGATAACACCCATATTTTCAAAATATTTGATTACATTTATAAAGAAAATGGCCTGTTAAACATTAGTTATTAACTGTTTAAAAGATGTGCTGCTTAAAAGGGCTTGAGCAACGTTTTAGCATACATAAAAAATCTTGAAAAGAAGAGGGGATAAACCAAACAAACCTAAAACAAAAATGTCAGCAAAATATTAATAAAGATTACATTGTACAAGAACAAGGGCAATGAATAACATGATTTTACTTAAAATGTTCTGAATAGTCAAGGAAGGAGTCACTCCACTTCATGATACCAACTTGGCCTAGGAGAGCAACCAGAGGAGGACTGAACCAGCAGTGCACTACATTAACTATAACTACACAGATATTGTAATTGTAGAATCACTTTGGCCTTGTTTTTGTTTTTTTTGCCAAATTTGTTCCAGGGACAGTCCATTTGAGTGAGAGCATAATAGTGGTTGTCTGTTGAATACACATCCTGTTTCAGCATATTCCCGATGTGCAGTAATTCCTCCCAGTGTGACACGTGCTGTATATTCCTCCAGCTGTTGTTTGGAAGTCCCGGGCTAAGCACAAGGGATGTTTCTAGTGCATTTGAGGTATAGTGCAGAGTAAAGGTCCGTGCTGACACAACTCACTAAGCTGGGAATGGCTGTGTTTGCAGTCCTCCTCAGTCCCGACCGAACCTAAGGTGGAGTGATTTGCGTCCATAATTGCTTTTGTTGAGTATGTACAGTTTGTGTCCTCAGCTCAGTCCAGAGGCTGGGGGTCAGCTATGGGCATGGTGTGCAGAACCTCATCCAAGAGCTGTAGAGCTCGATGCAGATGGATCTCAATCCAGCAGGGTGTCTCTTTAATGCTCTGCCGGGGATAGTCAGGACCCCAGCCCTTCACAAAACTCATCCGTAAAATACACAGGCGACGCAAGTCATCCACACCAATGCCCGCAGCAGCTGACAAACCTAGAATAGACACGACTTTCTGATTAATGTGGTGTCAAATATTGTCTTCATACAAACATAGTTTATTTTTGTTTATTAACTCTGTATAATCAGACTACAAATTTTTCATTATTTGGATTCACTTTAATTTGATGAGACAGCGTGCCCTCCTGACTGAGAATAATGCATCAGAGCAGTCAGTATAGCAAGCCTGTGAAAGGCTAAGTGACACTCACTGATAGCTGGAGCGATGCCTCCTACAGACCCTGGACCAGGAATGTTCCCTGCAACAGCAGCGGCCTGCGCTGCAGCAGCCGCCTGAGCTGTGGCTGCCTGCTGCTGCATCTGTCGGTGGCACTGACGCAAGTCAAATACCTGAAGGAAGGAAGAAAAGACAGTCCGTGCCACACATATCATTTGTATTGGATGAATACATAGTTACTGACAGATTATTGTTACTTAAAAGGCCACCAATATTTTCATTCATTATAAAAATGCAGTACAACCTCAGTTCTCAAGACACAGTACTCGGGAAGCATTAAAAACAACTTGCAAAAAGAGCTTTACCTTGATGTAAGCACTTGGGTAGATTTTATGAACAGCATCTCCTGGGGCTCGACCAGCCTCACGGTCCAGGTAGTAGCTCTGCACAAACACTGCATGGTCACTCAGACAGCGCACCCATACATCTCCCTCTCCTTTGCACTCCAGCTGCACACCCTTACCAATGTGGAGCCTGACCAAAGAAAACAAAAGTGAGAAAATAACAGAATGTGCTTTAGGGCATTTATCATCATGGCAGATTAACAGCAGTGTCTGGGTACCTGGCTCTCTCTATGTTCTCAGTCCTGTGAACATTGCTCAGCTGACCCAAGCAGAAGCGATCCCCTCCAGAAGGATCCACATAGCCATCCACAGTTACAATGGGGCAAGTAGAGGGAACCTTAAATGTTTCACCAACCTGAACATCCATCTCAAAGTATGCAATTGAGCACCAGTACTCAGGAGCTGTAACAAACAAAACTTAACAACACTGATAAATAGTGACTAAATTAATCCAAACAAATGATACAGACCAGGATGATTAGAGATGGGGGGCTGGAAAGAGATTTCATTGGTAACAGACCCTGTAAGAATGTAGTGGCATATTTTACTCACCATTTAAATTTTTTAAAATGCCAACTTAAATGAGCTGACTTCAGTTAGCAAAAACTTACAATAATGGCCTGTGTGAGGCATAGGTGGATGATGCTGGAGATGGCCATTTTGATGTTGAGGCACTGCTGGGGTGAAGCTACTGCTTCTGCTCCAGTTAGGAGTAGGATCTGTTCATACAACAAAACATTTTGATAAAATATTATCCAGATAAGTTGACGTAATGCTGTACTGTATGCAGTTAGAGCATCTCACTTGATGGTCCAGCAGTGATGGTGGAGAAAGCAGAAGTTGAAGCTGAGCTGCTGCCCTCGGAAGGAGGTAGAAGAGCAGGGCTGCTGAAGGTCTCCTGGGGTCCAGGTCTGGAGGGAGGATGCTGAATTGTCTGCAGGTGACTTTCAGAGCTTGAGTGAGACTGCTGGTTATCATAGTCGTATTCATCCTTTACCAGAAGTGGACCTGTGAAAATATGTTCACAATAAACACTGTATATGCTAAAAGCATCAAGAATAGAAGTCTCTAAAAATGGGAGGGACTTTTACCTGAACTGGACAGGGTCAGCCCTGACAAATCTTCAGAAAAAAAAACACAAATATTTGAGGTTATAACTATATAATAGAACAGTGCATTAAACTAACCACATTTATCTTCAAATATACATTGCTTTACTAACCAATGCCAGGGGAAACCACCCTTTCATAGTGGTACGGGTTGACACATACATTGTCACATTTTAGGTCAAAGGCATACTGGCAATACTTCACGTGTTTTAATTCATTTTTGTGAAGATCAGGCCATCGCCAAAGTCTGGCATAAACCACATGTGGAAAGCCTTTACGCCCAGCAACCTAGAACATAGACAAAATAAACAGACACAAGTTAGTAAATAATCTGGTCACAAGAAATTAACGGAATACAGCAGCACCTGTACCTGTAAACGTCCATCCAAAGTCCGCTGGATTGTAACACACTTGCTAGGGTGAGCTCCATTTGTAGTGATGGCAGTGATTAGAGAATCCAGTTCATCTTTCTTTTCTTTCAGCTTCTTGACAAGACTTTCAATAGCTCTTTTTGCAAAGCTCTCACTCTCTCCTCCCTGCCGATGGCACATCAGACTGTGCACAATGCTCAAGCAGGCATCATTGCTTGTTGGAGTATTTGTGATTGACATCTTGCTCCTTAGGTTTCACCCTTAAGGGAGAGGCTGCTTCTTTTGTTTGTGTACCTAAAGACAAAGAAAAAGAAAAAAACACGTTTTATTACTGACTTTTCATATACATATAAACTACTTTTGTGAACATGATTTTGTTGTATCAGTAGGATGATGTTGTATAATCTGCCTGGGCCATGTAATCCGATGAGTGCATTTCACAGCATCGACATCAAAGACATATTCTGGTGGGCAACATAACACATGAAAAGGTACTATGCGATGTATTACAAAATATTTAATTTGCACAAATTAAACATTTCCTCCTCAGTTGAGTACAGCTCAGATGGCTCAAGTTAAAGTGGTGCTCCCCATGACAGTAGTGCACGGACACCGCGCCTGACTAACAAAGCTCTTCAACAGCCTATTTACGAGTCTTTTATTGGCCGATACTATAACATGCGACATGCATGTATACCCACCAATTAAATGGTGATATTAAAATGACACTGTGTGTATTTACGTTTCCCCTAAAACCAACTACTTATACTGTTCATTTTTGAATTGCGTAAAGACATGCCTTCACCGTGTTACCGTAAATAATGCTAGCCTGTCTAGCTAATGCTAGTTGAGCTTTATCATTGCGCACATATCAGCAAAAATTCGGTGATTTCATCTCCAGATTGAATCTGTTCTAGGATATACACCCACATATAAAACATTAGTTGAATTCATCGGATATTTAACAGTACAAAACCCCTTTACTATGGCATAGCGTGAGTGGCTGTGATTTTCGGCTAACTTGCGTTCATGCTAAAAGGCTAACCGTACAAGACGCTTATCAAACTTCTCAGCAGGCAATGAAAAATACTAGATGCCAACGATGATGGAGTTATAACATTTACAGAGACATACCAGATAGGGTGTACTCCGTTATTTCCGTTATACTGCGAAATGGTTAAGGTGTTTGCCCGAGAGCACAGCACTGGAGGCTACTGTGGGCTAAAGCTAGCTGTCCACGAAAATAAACAAGAAAAAAATCCTCTCCACCCACTGTGCTACCAGCGCGCGTGCGCAGCGAAGTCTGACGCAGGCCACAGAGCAGATGGGAGCAATGCATTGATTTCTAGAGTAGTAGAAATCTGTGTATCAGTAATCGTAAATCATTATTTTTAAATCCTATCCTAGAGCCATTTTTGTTTAACTAAAAGTGAGAGACTGCCAGGAAATTAAAAAAATCAAAATCCAAAATTTTTTCAAATGTGTGTGATTTTGTTGCGGTATGCCTATGCAAACAAATTTACAGAGGGGAATATGATTGTAGAGAATTGAGTATTTGCGTAAACTAGAGCTTACTGAAAATTTGCTTTTAAAATTACATTTTGTCTCAGCCTTAGAGCTAAATCTTTCTCTTTTCTTAAATCTGTCAGAATCTTGATGAATGCAAAAGTGACATTTTGGAGTTTGTATGTTCTACTTTAAGGAGTGATTTTTATGTGAACAAAAATGTATTTTGAGAAAATAAAGTTTTTTAGCCCTAAATTAAAGAATAAAATTATCTTTAAGTGGAAACTGAAAAGAGTTTGTAAAGTCCAAAAATACATGTTGTGTTAAAGCAGGTACTCAACATTAAAATATAATTTCTGTTTGGCAGCAATTTGACACAATGGGCTATAGGCTACTCATTAAGGCAAATAAGTTAAGATAAGTCAAGTCTCATTGCGACTTGAACATGCAAACACAAAGCCACCTTAAAATTCATGGTGTTGCATGCTATTAAACAGGCTGTGAAGTATACATTTTGGTTTGACCCTTTGCCTCAAAATGCAAAATGCAAAACACAACTCATTGACAGGCCTATAGTAACACTTGACCTTTCATGTTTCTTTTCCATGTAAAAGGAAACTGAATTCTGCTTTGAGAGTGAATACATTTTGCCAATTGTCCAAGTATCATGTTTTGATTGTTAATAGTATGTGTTGATGTGGCATGTTTTTGTGTGTGTGTGTGTTTTTTTTTTCTTCATCTGTACTGTTGTAGGAGCCTGATAGGAGAGTCATGCTGTCAATGATAGAAAAAGAAGGAGTGGATTTCAGAGGCAGCTTGATGGTAGGCTAGTCAATAGAGTCAGTTAGTGTTGGAGACCAGGAATCTGACACCACTTTTTCACAAATGCTGCCACTTGGAGTGGCGTCTCATCCTGAGTGACGGTCCACAAGACTCCAGGCTCTGACACCTTCTTATCAGTATGGCACTGAGCGACCGTGAGTGGCCTGCCAGGCATGTGGCAGTACAGAAATGGGGCCCAGAGCTGTTAAGCACAGGGTACTTGGATTACCTGACAATAAAACAACAACATATTAAGAGGTAAAAGATTAAATTAATAATAATTAAAAACTCTCAGGGAAGGGCTAGTATGTTTATACAATCTTGACATTGACACAAATGTCTGTGAGAAGACAAAGCAGAAGAATTCTGGCACTATTACAAAAATATAAATATATTTCACAGCAATGTTAAGTTAAAGTGGCAATAAACAGATACCTGAAGAGCCAACAAGGGCATTTCCTTAAAAGTTCTGTACAAACAAGGGAAATGCCACAGCATTTAAATGTGACAGTGCCTAAAATACCACAGAGAAATGGTTATATAATTTAAGAGTGTATCTAATAGCTTATAATAGCAAAAGGTGAATAAGTAAAAGCAGACTCTCCACACCATGTACCCTTGGTAGTGCAAATAAGAAAACAAGCTAATCATTCTGCATGGAAATAGTACAGATATGGTATTATTATTAAACTGTTAGGCTTCTATTTAGTTCAAAAACATGGAATTTCCACTTTTAAATCCCTTAAATTACATAAACTATTAACAAAGAGTTTTATTTAAATGCACAAATGAAGAACAATGAAGGTTTTTCCGTTCAGTATGTATAATTCCAGATGGTATGCTGAACATTAGAATTACTTACCTCTATACATACAAATATTAAGTTATATATATCCAAAATTATAGTACAATTTTGAATTACACTGAATGCTGCATTTATAGCTAAGCAGCTGGAAGCACAATGAAATGATCAGTTCACAGTTTTATTGTCTCTATAGTTACTTAGAACTATCTGCAGCCACATTCAGCCACCACCATGCCTTCATACTTATGGTTAAAAGTGATGACTCCATTTTCATGGTAAAGCAGAGAGATAGGTTCTAATTTGGTGGGTACACAGCATGCTCGAGACACTCTGTCTGGACTCTTGATGCTCAGCAGAGTCTGAACCATGGCGTGTCTGGTGGGCGTGACTTCTGAGGTCAGAGGTGGGTAGCACTCCCCTTTGCACTCATATGCCTCGTAGCCCAGCGGTTGGATGATCCATGTGTCCCAGCCAATATCTTTGAAATCCACAAACAGGGGCATCCTTTTGCAAGCGTCACTCTTCACATTGCGCCGGATTCTGGAGGGTGTGTCATAGATAAAGTTAGAGTTCAGCTCCTCCACAAACTGCTGCTCCAGTTCACCCTGGTTTAAATGATCAGTATTGTGATTTACTGACACAGATCCACTCTCATCCACGTTTTCTACAAGGTTATGCTCATGTCCAATCCTGAAATTCAATTTTGCATCCTTTTTGTGTCTCTGATTATCTGAAAAAATTATCATAGCAGCATTGTGTTTTTTATTGGAACTTTGGTCAAATTTACCACTGATTTCTGATAGAGTTTCTGCTTTTTGTTGCCCCAAGTTTGTGATATGAATTTCCAGTCTGCCTTCTGTACAACCGCTCCTCTGCCAGTGTGTTACTGCATGAGTCAGGTCAAATGACACCCAGCCATTATCTCTGGCATTGACATGTTTTGTCACCAGTTCCTCCAACTCTTTTCCCCCCAGGACCTCCTCTTTAGCTCTATTTCTCGTGTCCCACTGCACCCCTCTTGACCACCCAACACCTTCATGCACATGATAAATAGTCACTAAGCAGTCTGGGTCCTGATGTGCTCCATGAGCCTGTTGGATCTGGATGAAGAAACGTAGTTCTGCTAATCTTATGTGTTCATGGTAAGGCATAGAGATGTTAAACAACAGGGGATAAATCCGTACACCCTCAGCTGTGTCACGGGACAGGGATGAATCTGAAATCAGACGGGACTTTATCAGCATTTTCTATTTCTATAATTATTAGAGAATCTATAAAATAGACAAAACAAATAAATTTTGCAACAGGTTTTTGTTTCTTTTTCAATACTAGACTCAATATCTTTTTACATTCAAGCACATACCTTTATTCTTGAAACTCCTCACTATGTTGGCAGAAGGTACAGCAGTGCGGTCCTTGGCAAATCTTTCATAAAGTTCCATCATGTATTCTGGTGGCTCCTTGGAGTCAGGGACTAGGCCTCTACTCTGGGCCCTCTGGTCTGTAAGGTTCAGAGTGGACAAAAACTGGCGCAATAGATCCTTAGGGACAAAATGGGTAATTCTCTCACCATCTCTTTTATGGGAGGCTCTATGGTGGTTCCCAGGTGGCCGGAGGGGACCGCTCCAACTCAAGTCATTCAACAATAAAAAGATGATACAATTTAAGAACCAATGACTGAAAAAAACCCAAGATGCCATTAGTGTAAGCAGCAGATCCAAATATTTTTAAATGAGAAGTTATGATGATGAAGGCACCTGCCGGCAGTTGAACCATGAGATGGCATGTAACAGGTTGGAGCCCACTGTAAAAACAGCTTTGCCCTTCGTGATCTTGTAGTTTGGTCCTGAGGGCAGGGCTGGCTAGTTCAGTGTGCTGACATGTTTGGAGATGTCACTTAGGCCATGCTCAGCCCCCCTCCCTTTCTTTCCACACGGGGGACATAACACCAGCCATAATATTACACATATACTGTTTATAAAAGACAATTGGAGTTATAGAATGTTGAAGGAGTTACACAATCCTTTTCTAAGACAGATGTATGGCGTTTCTATTTATGAGCATTTAAGAATTCATCAATACCACTTATTTTCATTTATTTATTTGTTTAACTATGTTCACAGTGTACTATTAGCAAAGGATCAGTGAGTAAATTTTATAACCTAGCATCTCCACAAGAGGCCAGTGTGGAGCATTATCTGCCATCTGATTTTAACCTGGACAATTGTTCTTTTCCGCTGTTATTTTTTAATATATTTTTTTCTAGTCTCACACTGATACATAGCCATGCATTTTAGCTTTACCGCATATATAGGAACTAAACTAAAGTAAAGGTATGATCTCAGGTATAGAAATTAACTGATTTAAATGTAATGGGACCATGATATCTGTGGAAAATTTGAAAAAAAAGAAAACTAAACTAAACATACAGTAATAATTTATGTTTATTTTCATTCAACATAGCAATGCAAAAAAGGATCACTACAAAGCAGAGTTTTCTTGAATGTAGGATCACTTAACTGGTAGTAGCTATTTCACATGTATGGCCTCAGATTAATAACATGGGTATTACAATAAATATTACAATATAAATGCCTTCTTTAAATTATTAACAGTCCTTTGTTACACATTTACATTCACGTTTGCCTTTAAGAAACCTTTTTAGACCATTCTTAGTCTCGTCTGATGACTGGCAGCTTTGTCATAAGGAAAGTAAATATCAAATCTGTTTTATTCATAGATTTCTGGAACTGTTAATTCTACCCTCAGATACACAGCAGATTATAGTTCTTCTGGATTGGATCAACAGCGCAAAACTAATGGAAAATACTGACAATAAATTTGAATCAAAACTTCTTCTTTTCAGTGTATGTAAAAACTGACCTCATCATGTATATTCTTTGGAGTTACACTACACATTGCATATTTAGGCTATATTGTAAGTATTTCCTCCTAAATGACCAAATCCCTCAAATCTATCCCCAAAAGATCTCCATAATAAATAAAAGTTTGGCACGTATTTCAAGGTAAACAAAGATAATTTTTGTCGATATGATCAAATGGCACAGGTCTGTATCTCACAGATGAAGTGTCTCTACATGATTCAGGCTGGTTCCACTTTTAGACCCACGAGTCTAATGGAGGGGGCTTGTTGTCCATAAGCCCCACTGCAGGACGGCCAGCTCGGATGAAGTGCTTCCTCTCATTGATTGCCTAAAATATAAAATATGTACAATTTGTGTATGGACAGTAAAAAGTGCCAATAAAACCACTGATAATAATGATAATAATGGTAATATTTTATAAATAATGCACTTTTAATTGTGCATTATTTATAATGTGTAATTGACTATTGTGAGCTTTGGGCCATGTTATAATGCTGTTACTTCATCAAAAACATACATGGAGTTGTGTTTTTTTCAATCACACTTGTTTGAGTAATCCTTTATTGTTAGTATGTCTTCATCTCTTCAGCTCAAAATGCTCTGTTCCACCTCGTGATATCATGAAGCTGTAGTTTTCAAGTTAACAGCTACTTTCAACCTTTAGTTCAGTAGAGATTGCCAGTTTCAGGGCTGAAATTATACAAAGGATTCTAGCGAAGCTGTATGGAGATTAAAAACACAGTGGAGCTCTTCCTGTATTAACACATGGCATCACAAGGTGGAACAGAGGGTTTTCTGTTATCTAAATAACTAAATATGCAGGGTTTGTATGGTAAACATGTGTGAATGAAATAAAACACAACTTCAGGCATGTTTCTGATGAAACAATATTATATCATAGATCAGAAAATAGTGCAATATAAGCCCTTTAATAAAGCATGAACAAAGACGCAACTACTTAATTAACAATTTATTCATTATTATGTACATGAATTAAGTAGTTGTTATTGCTTTATTAATGGCTAATTAAGGTGTAGTTATTTTAAAGTAGTGCCCTAACTCCTCAATTAATTACTTACTATGCCTGAACTGAATTTTTAATAAACTATTTGTTGAATATGAATTAAGTTGTTCATGTTTAATTAAGGCTAATTATGGTGTGGGTATGCAAGTTACTAGTATTTTTTTAAGGGTAAATTTTCTGGTGGTGGTGGTGGTGACTGGGCTCCCGTCTCCAGAGATCTGGCAAAGCAGTAACATATCCACAGATACAAGCAAACCCTCCACCAGAAAAGTTACATCGTGTACCTTTAAGCTTATATTCAAATACCATATCTAGTCATTCACAATGTTGCTTGACATAAATACTAAAAACCCCCAGGCGGTTGCTCTACCAGAAAATTGATACATTGAACTTTCCATCTAGCACAGGCAAACAGTGTTTGTATGATTCAGGTGTGTTGTCATCTGTGAAAGTGATTGTACCTGAAGAGCCTCTCTCTCCACCACTGACCCCTTCCCATCGCCAACTCTGTCATTTGGCTCTAAGGTGGAATACACATCTGTGAGAGGAGGGGAAATAATCACATCAGCCACACATTGTAGTGCCAAAACGTAGCTCTGGGTGCATGAAAGATATAAACTGTGAAATGACAAAAAATGGCGCTTTTTTAAGGCGAAAACCCAAGACTTATTATGTATGATTATCTCCATTCAGACGTTCAAATAAAGCTTCTCTAATTTATCCATGTAACAGAGTGCAGCGACGGACTACTCATTATACCCACTGTATTCATTTTTCAAAGAGTGCTTAACTTATCTTCTTTATTCATAAGACAGCCTCCAGAGAGTATCCCCATTTGGGAAGTCCAGTTAAAGTATCATGTTGAGGGAAAGCTTGATCGTGGTCGTGGGGGAGTGTGGTTGCCCTTTTGGAATAACGTCCAAATGAGATGTGACTGGTGATGCATGAGCTGCCCCAGCCTCCAGGAGAGAGAGAAAGAAAGCTCAGCCAAATAAGTCTGCAGCACTGATAACCTTGGCAGAACACCACTGGTTTAAGGCTATGTTTTAGAAGTGGAATACGTTCCCGGGACTGAAGAGGCTAATGTCTTTGTACCGAGTTAAAAATGTGCTTTTCAGATCAGAGCTTGAGGACGTGTCTCTCATTTGAGCACAGGTTTAATTATGTTTTGTTGCAGTTGGAGGCAGTGTGATGGTAATGCTGACCTTGAGTTTTGTCCATGAGCGGTAAGGTGATGTCGTCGCCCCCCTGCTTCCCACTCTTGGACTTCTTGGTCACTCCAGTCGATGGTGGCTTTGAATAACAAAAGAAATTCATAATACAAATGAAGGCAGTGTGTTTTAAAGACATAAACTACATGTCTTAGATTAACACATAAAATATTCCAAACACTTACACTAATACACTGTAAAATAATGATTTTCATAAATAAGACATGAGCATTGTGTTAATCTGTTCCTTAATTTAAAGCATTATTTGCATATAGTTGGTTGGATGAACATGTCCATTGAAAAAATATCTTTTTGATCTACATACATAGTACAGTTATTTCTTTGCACACAGTTGTAATTTAATCTTTAGCAGTGAATCTAAAAGGTACACTCTGTTGTAGGATGAAACTGGACTTTGCTTATTAAATATTATAAAACTTTTTAGACTTTTATGCATCTTGTCAGATGCAAATATGATATTTGTATAGAATCTATTGTGGTATGGTAATAAATGATGTGAAAACAATAGGGACACATTCACTGACAAAGTACATATTTCTTGCCTTTTCTTTTCTTAGCTACTGACAGCTTGACAGCTGCTGATAATTGACACACTTTAGCACAAAGGCAATGTCATGTTGAATCAAAACAAGTATTTTCAACATCAGACTTAGGTGTATATATTTTTTTAAGATAATTACATGAAGAGGGCATATGTGCCATACCTTAAAGTGACTTTTGGTCCAGCCTGCTTTGGTCAGTGTGTGTCGCAGATCCTTGTACGCCCATATTGTCTGCAGAACATGAGAGGCGGCCTTGGTCTCTCGCACTGATTGGCTGTAGACAAACCATTACAAATAGTGATGAACAGCAGAAGACAGCTCTGAGCCTGCACTGTCGGCTTGATTAAAATCTGTCTTCGAATGCCCCCGGATAGACATAAATAAACCCATGAATGTGACGTACCAGAAGCAGCAATACAAAGGATGAGATGTGACTTGTACATGGGTGATGTTTGAACGGCGTACCTCGACTTGTTGATGGCCACCAGTTTCTGCACGGCGTGTCCTTGTATAAGCGCTCGGGCATTCTCAGGGCTGTCCGTGATGATCTCATGGATAGTGTTCAGAATAGACACAACTGTATCTCCCTCCAGGTTCTTTGCTGGATGCTGTTGTCCACATGGCAGGTTGCCCGCAAGGTCCCTTAAAGCGTAGCTGCCTGCATTAAAGGAGTAGGTCAGTCAGTCAGGGAAAACAAGTGCAGAATAGTTCAAGACAACACACTGAAACATAATCAATTTTACATAATAATTCTGCTTTATTGCTGTGTTACATTAGTTTATTACTCCAATATGTCAAATAGGTTGTGAGTCTTAAAACATGTCTTCAGTGATTAATACATGAATAAGTATTTCCATGAATAAGTTGTCTGTTAGTATTAAAATTCTGATAAGATTTAGCAGTATCGTAAGGTCCAAATAGTAGTTTTACTACTTTGAGATAAATGTATCTTTGTCTTTTAAAATCACAATACCAATATTGTGTCTCAGACAAAGAAAGGTTTTAAATATATATATTTCTTTAACATTGTCCAAAAGCATGAAATTGCCTCCCCCCTCTAGGTTGCTTTGAGCTTATATTTGCTCCACTGCCATGTCAGAAGCCAAAACTCACCTTTAAATGCTGTATTTTAGGCATCTGTCTCTCTGTTTTAATTATCATTTCATGGAAAACACTGTCCAACTCATCTAATCTAAGTAAATACAAGTGTAGTGGGTTGCACAAACCAATGAGGTCCTTATTTCTCCTGTCCATGGCCAGGTTACGGAGAGCAATGGCCACAGCTCGCACCACTTTGTCCACATCTGAACGCAACAGCTCCACCAGAATGGGCAACCCTTTCTCCTTTCTCACTGTGGCCCGGATGTAGCTAGACCACTGCAAGCACCAGCAGTAAAAACAAAGCAATACAAGGATGTCAGCAATATTTACAATATTTATTTGAAGCATCAGTGAGATTTTACTTCAGGGACAACCAACTTATTGTAACTACCCTCTTGTCTTCATATAACTCCTCATACAGTATTACATCTAAAACAATACTGTACACTGAAAAGAAAATAATAAATAAGATGCTGTGCAGTATAAGGTACACATAACTAATTTAAGTGCTCCTCTGAGTGCAACTCAATTTCACAGCTTTAGGACTTTCTTTAAGCCAAGCAGTACAATTATAAAGCGCATTAATGACTCGGTCGGAGAGAAGCAGTGAGAGATAAGTGCTTCATTTTACGCAGGTGAAACCAAATGGGCTGAAGCTCCTGCAATTTATTAAATGCAAATACAGCCTCTTTAAATCTAAACATTGCACACAATGCTCAACTGTTTATAAAGTATCTTGTGTCAAAGTCTATGTCAGCAAAATCTTTAATTGCACAGATATTTGGGTAAAAGAAACAAAAGTCACCAGAGTAAGGTTTTTAAGATCACAATGTTTACATTTCTTTATTACAATGAACATTCCTAGTAGATGAATGAGGGGTTAATTGACATATTTGGGTGAACTTAAAATTATGCAAAATATCTACATGTTATTCAATGTTAATGAGTTTAACTTCATTTGAGTTGTATATAATTTAGGTTTTGTAATAATTTTACAAATCTGCAAGACTTCTTTTGCCATGTGGTTAAAAGAATCTGATATGTGGCATATAAAATGCTTTTCACAGTTGCATCAGGTTCTCAGAGAATACTTGTTTGAGTGTCAGAGTGTAATACTTACAGCCCACTGTCCAGCGGCCAGGTTCTGCAGAGCTCCTGCAGCTGCCTCCAGAGTGTTGTGGTTGTGGCTGCAGGTGAGCAACGCCAGGTACAGCCGCACCACATCAGGTTGGTACAGCAGCTCCAGGCCTGCAACACACCAGCACAGCACAGAATCAACATCTGACTTACTTTCACATATGGGTTAGTTTTTTAGGTCATGAGACAAGCATATGGCTTCTGTTAATTAATGTGTGAGAAGAATTATGACTCCCGCACAGAATAGCTTTATGTGGCTTAAAAAGGGGATTGGATTGCTGACAAGTGCGATGAGGCTGACCCCAAATGGCTGTCAGTCTGATTTGCATTCAGTGGCTGGAGCGTGGGAGGCATAATCTCAGCATTGCTTCTCCTTAGACAGTGGCATGTGCATATAAGTGTTCACAGCTATAAAGCACTATTGTCACTTTGTGAATCTACACTCAACAGGTATGTTCTTTATGCCTAACTGATTTAATATAATTAATAAACGACTATGAAGATTCATGCTGACTTTTTATGTGTTGATATTGCAGTATGAAGTCATGCTATGTTTAAATCTAAATTTGTCCAATTTAAGCCAGTGTTAGATAATTCATTACCCAATTCCACATTAATTTTCACCATTCTTGTTGCAACTAGTGCACTTTGCATAGCCTGCAAAATTATTTCACTAAGATTAAAATGATGAAAATCACTTCAAAAGGTCTGGTTTGTGCCTATTTGCCTAATTGGTGTTGTTAATAATGAGCAAGCCAAAAAGGTTTGACATGTATTTACGAAGAACTGTGGTGCTCTTTAAAGTGATGAAAATGGTGAGTGTGGGTTAGGATTAAAACAGGTCACATCTGAAAATACATTGCAGACTTCTTTTCTTTTGCTTTTCTCTGGCCATAACCAATAAATCTGCCCCCTCCTAACTTCATCCTTTGCATTCAATTCATTTTAATCCATTCAAATACAGAAGATTCAAATGGATTGATCCCAATGGAAACCATGCCAATGCCATGCATTAAAAGAAACATAATCTCGGCGGTGACGCAGCTTGTGTTTATTACAAAGGGCTGTAAATAGTAAGATGAATCCAAGCATTATTTCTTAAATATACCTTTCATTTGCTCAGGGCGTTTAGGTAAATCCAATGTACCATATTTTCTGTCCATAAAGCCATTTTTCCAACCTGTACATCACAGATACAGACATGCACACAGACACCAGTTTTATTACCTTCAGCTCACAAGTTTAATGTCAATGAATTCAGTGTGACGCAGAAGCACAATATTATTCTTCAAAATATTCAGAAGCACACTGACCTTGATTGAACCACTCCTCTAATGAATACAGCAGAAAAGAGAAGAGTGTGTCAAAAATTAGAATTGGGAAGAGACATAGAGGCGGCACACACTGGCACTAATGGGTTAATGTTTGGGCTTTGTTTTGTTTAAATGGCTGAACACTTCATTAAAATCTGCATTGTATGTATTTTGGGCCAGAAATATTCTTCTTTTTTGAGTTTCCACGTGCTGCAAAGCACAGTGTATGATGTTCTCCTGAATCTGTACCCTTATGAAATATTCACACATCAAGAGGCACAAAAGGAATGTGAAGCCCATAGCCGTTACAACCCCTAAAATCTTCCAAAGCATTTTATTTCTCACTGCATAAAATAGTTAGTTTAAGGCAAAGTAACACTGTAATGAAGTGTGCAAAGAGCAGGAGTTCAAAGTGAATACATTAGGATTGTGCTGGACTCATCACATTCTCACCTTTGGGTCTTTTTCCGCCAAAACAGTCATGCTCGCTCTTCTTCCGTGGGTGACCTGCTGATCTCATCATGTGGGGCTCCTGGAAACGCTCGGCTCCTGGGATTTCTTTATGAACGTGGTAGGAGAGATTTCTCAGGATGCACACACAGTTCTCCACTGACTATGGACACAATTTCACAACTTATTACTGAATGATAGAATAGAATAGTGTGTAAACACAGTTAAAGGACCCATATTACGCTGTTATGTGATCTATGTTATAATGTTTCCTGATCACAAACATACCTTGAGGTGTGTTTTCTTTCATTCACACATGTTTAACACACAAGCTCTGCATATTCAGGCTGAGTTCTTCTCACACCTTCACTAGAATCATTTGTATAATTTCAAACCTGGAATTACCAATCTCTACTGAACAAAAGGTAAAAGGTAGCTGTTAACTTGAAAATTACCACTACATGACATCACAAGGGGGAACTGAGCATTTTGAGCTTTGGAGATGTAGACAGACTAATAAACCAGAATTACTCAAACAAAATTGTGTGAGAATGTATCAATATACAGTGCCCATTTTCTTCCAAAATTTCATTTCAAACACACTCAAGAAATTCAATGGTAATGTAATTTTAAAATCTGATTTGAGGCTGCATTTCCTTAAACTAATAAAACATGTGTGCTGTCCCGTCAGAGGATATAAGATGAATGTTTTCATGAGTGTTGTATTTGTGAACCTTATTGTCTGTGTCCTTGGTTAGCACAGCGGTCTGAAGGGCATGAAGCAGAGCATCCACCAGCCCCTCACACTCCCTCAACCTCTGGCGCGCCTCTGCCCCGTCCGAGCTCACGTTCCTATGCCCAGACACTTTATTAGATTAGCATTTACATGTGTTGTTCTCTATTCTATGAGTGCACCCAGGCAGCCCTACCTCAGACATCCGGAGGTGTTCTTGAAAACTGTGGTCCACTCGGCACTCTGCATTTTGGAGGGATCACTTGTGTCTCTCCTCCAGCCGGAGTGAGGAATGATGATTTCATCTGTCAAGGTTTGAAGGCCGTGGTTGATGACAGACATCTTTAGAGGTTCATGCGAGGAGAGGTTCCAAAGAGTTCCTGTAATAAAATATGACATAATGTTCATATCAATATTGTTCATTTCATGACAAATGATGTGCTTGTAAAGAAAACATTCATCTCCTTTTAGATACATGGGTTGTCTCTGCATAAACTGACTCTAACAATTATGAAACATGCATGGATCAAGTGGGAAAGTACAAATCTTCTCTGGTAAATGAAAGCAGCCCACAAACTACAGCCTGACACTTTTGCTGCTGTTTGTTTTCATAAAGTGGACACAATCAAAACACAGTGTGAGTAGAGTTTAGTACAGAGACTATAAAGAGTGGTGAATCAGCATATATACTTTACCTGTGACTAACTCTTTGACCTCCACGCTGCTGGTCTTCCTTAACAATCGAACTAAGGCTTGAATACCATCACAATTCTTGATGGCCATTTTGTTTTGGTGGTCTTTGCCAAAGGAAATATTGCGCAGGGCTCCACACGCTTTGCGGTGCACTTCAGGTTTGGGATGGTCCAGCAGCTCCACAAGGACAGGCACACCATTCAGCTGGCGCACCTCCTGCTTGATGTGGTCGTTCTCATAGCACAGATGCTGCAGATAGGCCGCAGCGTTGGACTTGACCGGATCCATGGGGTGGTTGAGCATTGCAATAACTTCCTGCAAGTTTGGATCCCTCCATCTTGGATCTCTGCGGATGCTGTCCAGGCTGACCATGCTGCTGCGTTTGTGGGGAAACTGTAAGGTCTGAGCGCGGCACATGGCCTGGAGGAACGGGTTCAAGTTGCCCTCCAGCTGGGCCATGAATGCATCATCATATCCAGTCCTGCAAAGACACAGGCATCATGTATGAAGCTTTGAAAGAAACATATGGTTTGACATTTTCAAGAACAAAGCAAGCATGGGTGAGTTTAACATCTTAAGTGACTAGCCTCTGTCTTGTACAAACAGTTCTGTCACTTTATATGGGCTGAGGGAAAGCTTCTGGCAGCGAATAACAGGTGAAGTCCTCTTATTTATTGACTTTGCAGCTGGCTGTCATTCCTGATTGATACTAGCGGCTCCTTAACTGCTGTCCATCTGTCTCAGTTTTGTCCACACTGACTCGCTGGACAATGGCCACTGCTGTAGCATACGCTTTGGGTTCGTGTGAGTGCTCTGTCCTCTGCACTCACCTTTCACTGTGTATTTGGGCTGACAATCTGACAATGAATAACTGGAAAATGAAATGCCATCTGTTTTAATATATGTGGTTGTTAATCTACTGCAGTAATGACATTAATAAAAGCCAGGGCATGAACTTTAAAGGTCCATTGTGTAACTTTTCCAGTGTAGGGTCTGTTAACTACTTGTCTCTGCGGAGTTGTCATTAAACTGTCTACACGGCGAGAAGCACATGGCACCACCAAGACAAGTTACAGGATAGCTCCATGGACAGGCAACCCTTAAAGTACTTTTGAGCAATAAAAAACACATTATTATATAAATATATTACACATAAGTTACAGCTATACTATAGAATATAAAAGCAAAAGCAACAATGACATCTCCATGGAGACAAGCAAGTGGCAGGCAGACCACCCCTCCCCACATGAAAAGTTACAGGGTGCACCTTTAAATAATCTGTAAATTCATGCTTTGTGTGTAACTGGTTGCTCTAATTTGTCTTCGCTCTATGCTTTTGTTTTCCATACAATTCAATCACGAGAATAAACTTGAATTTATATATGGTAAAAGATATAGATAAAACATTGTCATTTAGCTTCTTTAAAAAAAAAAAAAAAAAAAAAAAAAATATATATATATATATATATATATATATATATATATATATATATATATATATATATATATATATATATATATAATTAATGATATTTGATGCATTGTTGTATTACCTGGTCCTTGATGGCTCTCTGAGAAGCTCCATAGTGGTGATGGGCCTGAAGGGGTGTATTCCCCCCAGTGTGGCATAGGTGCTTGCCGGGTGATCTTTCATATCACATGGTGTTTCTGCACGTTCGCGCAGACCCTCCTCTTCTGTCTGACTCCCCAGGATGGACGGAGTGTAGCTGTCTCTGAGAAAAGGCAGGGTGTAGTGGGCTCCGGGCTGAAAGGTTTTTGCTGGCCAGTATCCGTGAAGCGTGGTTCTGGACAAGCTTCCATATCCGGTACACAAGTCTCCCCCGATGGTCCTGTAGCCATCTGGGAGAGTGTAGACCCGGCTCTGTGTGTCAGGGGGCACTGGTGGGGTCTCAGGCTGAGGGGCAGTGGTTGTGGTGGTGGTGGTTGTGGTCAGTGTGATTGGGTCGGTCAGGGTGGAGTCAGCCTCAGAAGTTGGCGTGTCTGCTGGAGTGTTGTCTTGAGTCACAGGGGTGGATGTGAGTTCAGGTGAGCCCAATGTCAGCAGGCTCTCCACAGCTTCATTTAGAGCCACTTGGCTGTCACTCTGCTCTGGTTTAACCTCTTGATCCACTGCCTTTGACTCCTGTTAGAATGAACACATCACAACTATTAGCTTCATAGTCCAATCACAGTCTGTGGTAGTCTTTAACAATCAAGTTTGTCTGAAAGGTCACCAGTGGGTCTACTCTGTGTTGCTTCAAACACTATCAAATTGGCACATTTACAGACAGAGCAGGGAGTGTTTGTTCTTCATTTGCTGGGACTAGACCAAAACATGCCCCAGTAACCAGCGCAGTGTGTTTCAATTCCATTCCAACAATAAAGCTCACCACACCAAACTATTTCTCTGATTTCTCAGTGATCAATCACTATCATGTCAGCATTTCCATGGCTTTTTGCACCCCCGGGGTAAATTATGAATTTGTTTTTGGTGCCAAACAATAATGAATTCATCTAGTTGAAAATGAGTTTAGATGGGTCCCTGATGAAACAAGCTGAGGTCCAGCTACTGTTGGAAGAGAAGTTGGAAATGTAATTGACTTTTGTAAACTGGTTTAGGATCTAACTGTCTCCTAGCATTTCTCAGCTGACAACTCACACTGAGACTTTCCTGTTTGATTTGGCATAATACTAATACTACTAATACAGCAGTCAAGCAAATTGGCCTGACATGTAAGACTTCTATAACTAACCATTAAAGGGAAGGGACAGTTTTTTCCCATATACTTGTGTATAAAATGTGTCTTTACACAGTACAGATATAATGTACAAGCAAGTGAAAATCTGTCCAGTGTATTCTGTCTGCAAGTGGTTTATTGTCCGAGAATCAGGAAGTGCTCTCTTAGCACACTCGTTGTTGGAATTACCATTAAAGTAAACTCCACACTAAAAAACTCATTGCAGTGAATAATTAGGACGCTCAGAATGCATCATAACACCCCTGCAAACTGTGATGCACTGGTCATCTTAAAATCAGGTACAGCACCTTTAAAAATGTTTTTGGCATTTATTACAATTCTGTGATTAATACTGTCATAAAAAAATTGTAAACTTGTGAAAAAATATGATTAAAATGTATTCTTACGAGTTAATGTGAAAACTACATATTGAAAAAAGTTGCCTAAGCACTTGACCTCTGTGTCAGTCTGCTGAGGGGTGTCAGTCTCCGTGGAGCTCTCGTTGGTGGAGGTCACAGCAGAGGCGATAGAAGTGGGTGTGTCCAGTTCGTCGCAGTTGTCTGGAGCTCCTGGGGGGTCCGGGGCCCCCTCCTTCATTTCCTGGGACAAGGGCAGCACTGGGGGGCCCTCTGAACCCTGCTCCTGCTCAACACAAATAGCTGCATCAGTGGAATATGGCAGTGTGCTAGCCTGATGCATTATGTTGTTGTAAGTATGCAAACGGTTAGAGGGTAAAACCACGCATTAAAGCTGATGAGAAAATGGATGCACTTGACATTGGACTCTCAGAAGCTGTAATGTATGATTATCACATAATTTAGCGGGATCATAAAGCCACGGTGTCTAAATGGCTGTGGTGTGGCTGTTCTTTAGAAAATGTCTTTTTATTTTGTGCAAAGAAAAAAACGCTTAGGGTATGGCCTTATAATGACCAAACAACTTGTCAACTGATCCTTCACTTGGCATCTGTTTAATTAGCGTAATGTTGAGCACAGTTTATCTTCTTCTATATTGTAATACCTTCAAGGTTTATTATTGACAGCAAGAGGAAATTGCAAGATATTTATCAAATCAGGGCATCTGCCTGAATTGATTGTTGCTTTTTGCTCTGTACAGCTGCCTGTTCATGAGAGAGCTTCTTGTTTATTCAAGCAGTAAAGATTAAGCCCTTATATAATTTTATACAGTGAAATTAAGAAACCGTAATTATGTGTGAATGACAAATTTATTTACATGATGCAGTATAACTGGAATTCAAAAGAAGGCATAATGTTATGTGACTGAATCTATTAATATAATTATAGGATCCAAAATACAAACAAGTTTGTGAAAAGTTTGGTGTTGTGACTCTATAACTGGTCAATGTCCAGAGGTGGGGACAGCCACACACATGTGTTTAATTTCTCTACTGTAAATCACCTGTACTGTACACACTAGCATGTCTCATGATGTGACATGTGACCTTGAAGGGCGCTGTGATGGAATTTACTGTGAATAGTATTATCTGAAACGTGAATGGTGCAGTAGCTGTTCTCTGGAAAACCACGCTGTTCTGTGTTTATATTTAGTTTCAGACAGTTGTGTATCAAGCAGAGCTGGGATTTGCACTTCTCTCCTACAAATGGCTTTCATTTACCAGAATGCATTAATTATTCAGCATTTTGGGTTGGAATTAAGCAGGAAGCAGTGATGACTGTAAATACTTGTAGCATGTTTTGGATTGGTCCTGTCTACATTATAATCAGTATACCTAGCAATTCTTTAATAAATAAATGGGATCATGAAGCACAATAGCTTATCCAAAGTTGCAAATCAATTTTAGTTTCATGACAACGAGCTCAGTACTTTTGTTGCTGAAATAAACAGTTTCTGCTGTGATCTTCTGAACTGTGCTTTGAAATGAAGCCATGTTCTTAAACATCAGTAAAAAGTAGACACAGTAAATCTTTATATTAGGAAGAATAAATGCTCCAATACCTGCACTAAATCACACTACAGTGAGATGGGCCATTGGCCAATCTGCTTTTTGTAACCTTTACTCAACTACTTGAGACTATAGCCTCAACCAGAAGATATCAATATAGATAAAAAGGCCATATGTAACACACTGGCAGCAAGCATCTCTGGAGGAGGTAGATTGGATATTGTTGGGTGGGCAATGCAATATTACTGCAAGAGGGGCTACTGCTGCTACTGCTGTCCTCTCTGCACAGCTTGATTAAGGATTTGGAGGATGATAATGGGCTGGGTGGACTGAAGAGGCCTGTGTGCACTGTCCCCCATCTGAATCGGGCTCCGGGGAAGGCCAAGCCACTGAGTCTGAGTCAAGGCTCATTTAAATAACTTACTGCACCATCACTAAGTGGGAACATGCCGCCAAATAGGTCAAGATGAAGAGTGCAAATTTGACTTCAGATCAGTTTTTGAAGATTAGAGATTGAATGCATTTTGTGTTCCTCTGTTACTTTTATTTTAAAAACCGAGTTTTGATTGCCACCATTCAAAAGAAGATTAACATTGTCTGCAAGTCTATCTGCAAGTCAGGGTGGTAGTTCTTAATTTGACATAAAACATAAATACAACAAAGTAGAAGATGCATGTTGAGTTTAAACCATCTTTAAAGCACCAAGGCCAACTACATAAGGGCCCGGTCAAGCAGAAGTAAACAGCAAGGCCAAAAATTCAAGTTAATGCATCTGATATAAAAATGTATTCAACAGATAGCATATGTACTCTAGTTTATGAAATTGTTTACCTTTTTTCTGTACCATTTTTGGTTCTAAAGTTACATACATTTTAAAAGACCAAAGACCTGCAAATCATGTAAATAAATGGATGTCTTTCATCATATCTTGTGTTATTCCATCTTTGAACTGTTGATGAAGGTACATGATTTTTTTTTTTTTTTATGTATTTAAAATGATAAAAATTTGCTTGGAAGGACTAACATATTTTATAGAAATAGTTTCCTTTCATTTTGAAGTAATATTAAAGTATTCGGAAGAAAAAAGCTGACAAATTATGCAAAATCATGCACCTTCTACTTGCTTGCACAATTTTCCCTCCGTTACTTTTCCCTACGTTACCATGACCTTTCTTAATAAAAAATCTCATTACTCAAAAAGTAAGAGGTTTTTCAACCTAATCTTGTACCATATGGTAGAAAACTATATTAAACAAATATTCAAACCAGTTTGTTAAGGATATGTAAGTGAGAACCGCTAGTTATCGCTGTTTGTATTTATTGCCCAAAAAGTGCTGCATATTTCATTCCTTCCGTTACCGACATGACTTTTTAATTTTTTTGTCAACAACTTGAAAGAATATCACAGGTTTAACTTTACCCTATCGGAGTGCTAACTCTTTCCTACATTCTAATACCTTACAGGTTTCAATAGTCCCTCTAGTTTCTGAATAAGAGCTATTTGAATGTAAAAAATCTGCCCCTGTTTCTCTTCGTTACCGCTTGACCGGAACCTGTAGCAAATAATATTTTTCATAACTTCTCATTTTTGTGACAACCTCAAGGACATCACTACACATATATGACACAAACTTGGTAAGATCAAGAAAAAGGAAAAAGGTTGATGTAGAGACATAGAAATGTTGTGTTGAATGTAATCTAATGAACATCTCCACAGGGCCCTCGCGGCATCTTGATCAAACTTAAAGCAAAATTGACTTTCACAGGCGTTTTGTCTCTATCACAAGAATCTGGGATTGGGCAAGTTGTGCATCGACACCGTAATAAAACATGACATCAGCTCAGTGATGTCAGAAGACATTAGTCACAACTTTGTCACTGCTCGTCAGCCCGGCTCTGTCTACTCAACCAAGATGTGCTCCCAGCAAACACCAGAACCAGGGCAAAACAGATAAACAACTTCTGTGCAGTTGTAGAGTGGGGGTTCCAAATACTGGAAACAGATCTCAACATCCAAAGGAACTTCATCAATAGTTATGCAAATGAAGATTTCAGATTCATTCTCTTAATTGAATTTGTCCCAGTAATAGTTATAATGCAGTTTCTGGCCCTGTTTTGTATCATGTATTTGTTTGTTTTGGATAGCCCCTTGACATGCATCATCTCTTTTCATCCTATTATTATTTACAGTCATTTGACCAAAGTTTTTCACTGCTTTTCCAATCTTTTGTATTTATCAAGGTAGAAACAAGTAGCACATTAACTCTTTACATCTTGTAACTCTAAGACATAAAATATTCTTTAATAAAGGATGCACATTCAAACTGCAGTATATGAGGCAGGCACAGTGAAATAAAATGGATTCAAAGCTCTGCCCTGATTAATTGGGCCTTGCATTCGAAGAAAAGTATCTATACCTCCCTGTTATATGATAGTACTTTGATTATGCATGTGCAAAGTTTTTTTGTTTTTTGTTTTGAGGAGCCTCCCTTTTGCACCCTGCTCCTCAAATAGTTAAATGCTGCATGGTCAGATTTAATGTCTCTCTGATACATCATGGCAATACACTAACACAGCGTGTGCAGCATTCTCCCCGGAGGAACAACCTCTTTCACAAAGCAGCTACAAATCATTTTCTACCTTTACATCTACGCGCCTGTACATTAGATTGTATAGAACTAAACATTCTTCGACTTGATGAAGCTGTTAGCACCATGTCCCTGTGAGCACACACACAAGGAGACTGCACCGAAACAGCAGAGAGGGAGAGAGGGAGAGGAGGAGAGGCGACTCATGCCCATTTCATTCACCATGACACAGCCACAATGTATAACAAACTCAGTCTAGTATATGCTTCTCTGCAGAAAAGAGAAAAAACTGCATGGTAAAAGAGGGAGGGTACATTGATAGCAAATAGAGCCATTCCACAGCACTCACCTCCTTCACTTCGGCTGGCATTGGCAAATTTGCTTATCTTCCTAACAAATGAGGTACAAAATGCGTCTCCCACTGAGATCAGGCTTCTCTCTATCCTTCTTCTCCTCTTTTTTTCCCTTTGAGCATCACAGGCAGTTCAAACATGTGCAGCCATCCTTCCTTCCTCTGTGCTCTATGCCAGCACGTTCGCTCCTCTGCTCTCCCCTCTCTCACTCCTTCCCTCTCCCACCTCCCCTTCCTCTCTTCCTTCTCTCCCTCTCTCTTCTTGCTACTCTATTTCTTTGCAATTGCCCCCAAATACAAACAGCACAGAGTATGCGTTTGCCTCTTCACATACACAACATGCCCAGAGGAGAGGCTGGGAGACAGAGGATGAATGGTGGTCGCTCTGATTAGCGCACTCCCCTCCGCGCTGCTGCTGTGATCTGTGCTGCAGTTAATGTGCACGCTATTAGCAAGGTGCTGAATCAACACATGTATGCTGCCGTGCAATGGGGAGCAGGCGGAGGTGAGCGCAGAGAGCCGCAATCCCCCTCACTCTGCCTCGCACTCACACACACACACACACACACACACACCAGTGTCTCCCCCTCTGGCCAGGCACAGGCAAGGTGCAGCTGAGTACACTTTGTGCAAAGAAGAGACAGGGGCTGGGGTGTAGTTGTGATGTAAGGATACAAGCTACAAGAAGAACAGTTCAAAAACAATAATTTAAGTTGAACACAGTTGCCTACATGCAAAGACCGCAAATATTTAATGATTCAGATCCTCCTGATAGGGGGATTATGAGGCAAGGTGGGCTATTTTACTTTCTACTTTGAAAAGAAAGATGTTCAGTTGTTTTTCCTTCATCACGGTTAGCCAGTGGTAATCATCAAGCAAAGGATCTATTTGGGAACACACAGCTGGAATAATATTTGTAGACTTATGTGCACTGAATAGTATAATATACAATATGAATAGTATAATAAACATCAGTATAATATACAAAACTGTACTATCCTTTACCCATCACAAAACTTTTTAGGTAAAAAAAAAAACACACACAAAAACAACTGACTAAAACAAAATAATGTTTTGTCTCCCAAGTTTTGTCTCCAAGTCTCCATATTAAACCTGAAACTCTTATTTGGCCTGAAGGAGGGTCTCCTACGGCTTGTCTCCATGGAAATGATGTTTCTTTGGCTATAGTATTCTACAGTATGGTTAAATCATAAAACGTATCTTTCTCCATGGAGAATGTTCTGAAGTCAACCCAAAACATGCTTCATGGGTCTCCAGGAAGAATAGCTGATAGCTAGGTAAATTAAATACAATCAATCATTGAACCTGCCCAGGGACTACAGGTGTAAATTAGCACTGGTGCTACAACCTGGTACAATGCATCACTTCTGTTAAGGTTAATGTATATTGTGCATTGTCGATCTCTCATTAAATAAATAAACATCATTTCAAGTATGGTTTTAACTTTCTATTTCAATGGAGTCATGCAGGTAACACCTGCAGTGAGACACGGTATTGCTTTAATTAGTGTGAAAATGATGTGCAGTAATCCAGTGAACTCACCTCTCTATCAACAGTCCTGGTTTAAGAGGAGCCTTCGATATCATTGATCTGAAAGCATTTACAAAGTCTAACTGGTCTCTGCAGGCTTTCATTCCACTCTGTTTGGCCAACCGTCAGTCTGGCAAATGGTGTAAAATGGCTTCTGTTCTGTTTGATGTCCTACTGCAAAGTTAATAGAATCTAGTCTAGACCTATGATATGATATGATATGATTCTGGTTCAAAAGAAAGAAGGGAGAGTAGGGAAACTATTTCAGACCTCTCTTTTAATTAAGAAATCTTTGATCCTTTTTTGTTAAATCAAAAGAGATATATCTGTGAAACAGATTGCTCGCTTCAGTTATTGACTGACATAAAGCCAGTTGTTTCAAAAATTATTACAAGTACCTGTTGCTAACCCACTGTTTTATCTCTCCTCCTGAAAAATATGGGTTCCATTAAAATACCAACAGTAAGTGTTTTAATAGTGCTGGGTCACTGAAGCCATCTGCAGTGTAGCATTTGGAAAGAGCTTTTGCAAAGGTACTCAGAAAAGGCTGAAATAAATACTGGAAAGAATCTAATGCCGTATCATGTTTTGTATCAGTATTTCGCTTTGTCATATTGCAGAAACATGTTAAATTCAAAGCCTTTATGAGTGACTTAAAATAAGAAAGAAATCATAATGCTTAAAAATAAATAAATAAAAACAATTATGACTTTATTTGGACAACCTTATCACAGTAAAATGTATATATGTTATTATGTTAAGTTACAGTTAAAATATGTCTCAGTCATGGAAAACAAGCTCTGTTTTTGATTACCCTCACACTCTCAATCCTATTAGCTGCACAGTTTTGAGAAACATGTCTCCACACAGTGTTTGTGTTTGTCACTGCTCTCTTTAGCCCATGTGGATGTCTGCTCATTCCATTTGCTGTGCATGTCCCAGCCTTTATGTCAACACTGTGATCCAGAGGAGGCTGCTGTGTTGACATCACATTATCCCCGGCTTGTGCCATGAGGCTTGTGCCTGCCCCGCTCCGGCCCAGCTGTTCCTGCGTCCTGCTCCACTTCCTCTGCTCCCACAATGCAATGCTGCCACCTGCACTGTCACACCTCCTCTATGTAAGTCACTTTATAGTTTCTCATCATCTGCACACCTGCTTTTGTCCTACAAACTAAAACGGATGCTTAAAACTGACCCTGCATGTTTTAATACCGATCTTTACGAACATTATTTCATCTTTCTGTGATGGGAATGACTCCATCAAACTGTACACATTCTCTACATTTAGATGCCATGTCTATTTTAAGTCATATTAATAGCACATTTAATATCAAGTTTCCTTCCACAAAACTTTGCACTCTGAACAAACAAGACTCCCATGAGCCCACACTGGGCTGCAGATGTCAAATGTGATGGATGAGCACTTTTTACATTCCAATGAATTAGGCATAAGCTACAAGATCAGGATTTATTGGAATTTTCTGCAGGTCTAATCCTTTGAGAATAATTTAAAGGATGTAAGTGCATATAAATGCAAATTTAAATACTATATACAAATGTTTGCAACGCATTAGCTCCATCTATCAGACAGTGGATCCAATAAAATGGTGCAATAACAAATAAACAAAAGATGTGCAGTCTGCCTTCAGTGAGTTCTGGGTCAAAGCCACATGTATTGCTTTGTCAAATATACTTAATAACAAGTGTAGATAACGACAAGACCAACAAGAAGGTCCTGAGTTTGATTTGTGTCATGGAGCTGTGTGCAGTTTCCACATTCTCCACTCTGAATGGTTTCCTTTGGGTACTCCATTGACCCAAAACATGCAGTAGGCTAATATTCTAGACAGGTAACCTTGGCTCAAAAGATGGGTGCTTAGGTCCTGAACTGTATTTGCCCACTGCTCTGTCAGGGTGCCTTGTGGCACTGTTTGAAGGATGGATTAATGCAAGAGTCAAGTTTCCCTACAGGGAGATTATGGACATTAAAACTCTGTCAGAGCAGCCAAAAAGTTGCATAGATTGGGTTCCTGATTCACATTCTGTCTCATATTCATAGAGAAACAAGCATAATGGGGGAAGAAATAATACATCTGTAGATTTAATAGTGCAAATTACCCGACAAACCCCAGACCCCTGCTTTCAAACAAATGAATACAGAATTCTATTCAGCCACCCTAAGTTACTGGACTAATGCCTACAAAGGTCTTGGCAAAAGAAGTCTTGCCTAGAGCGCCAAAGAGCTAGTGCCGGCACTGCCTGGATCACACCAGGGCTGTTCTCTCTCCCTCTTGTTATTTGCCCCCCTCAGTGTGGGTGTTGAACAGAGGAAAAAGTACAAATATTGAGAGCTTTTTAACCACCATAATGTAGATGGGATTCTCCATTTTTATTTATTTGCCATTTCTCGTGTAAAATCAATTTCACTAAAATAGACATTATTTTTTGGAAATAACAGTGTTTTTACTTTTTTGCACATTCAAATAACAACTCACACCTCATTGAAACAGGCAATTGAAACCTAGAGGAGAGGCGATTTCCTTGTAGTATGTGTCTAAGTCAAACAGGAAGCACACAGAGAAGTGTCTGATTGTGTCTGCTCTGCTCTGTATGCACCTGCCGTCCTCACTTCTGTCAGTGTCTGTGGACTCGCGCCTCTGTCATTCTCACTGAACTGCCTTTAACTGTGGGACATTAGCATGGAGCACTGACCCTGCACTACATTCATTATGCAGTCCATCCTGCTAAGTGGAGCCTCCAGTCCTCAACTACCACATTACACTTGAGTTTTTGTCCCAAACTATGACCTTACAGTATCAGGGACACTGAACCATGCTTTGGTGGAGCAGTTCGTTACTGTCATGTTAGATGGAAGGTACAGCCAGTCATCCAGAATTGATTTAATGTATTTGTATTTTACCATTTTAATTTTAGAGTTCACACAGAGAATACTTGACATTACATTAAACCCAGGCTACTTAACCAAATAAAAGTTTAAATATGGTGATTGAAAGTTTGGGTTAGGTGGAGAATGTTTACTAATAAAGCATAAAGCATAATCAGAATTGAGGCATTTATTGTGGCATTTTGTGGCATATTGTGTATAGTCCAAATAATATTAATGGTTATCAAAATATAGTTTTCTGATTATTTCAATGGTTGAAATATTCTGATTAATCATTGCAGCTCTTAGGTATATCTTCTGAAGAACACGCTTGCCATGTATATCAGTAGTGCTAATGTCAAAGGCCAAAAAGCAATTCCAAGCACTCACATGTATAACATAGACTCACATAATTGAACATTTTCTTTGTGAAATCAGCAAGTTGGAAAGTTTTTGCGCTCCAAGGTGAATATGCGCACTTTGTATTCATGCGACTGCATCATTGCGTGCCAGAGGGGACTTTTGAATGTTATCACCCTCGCCTACATATTTCTTAGCATTTCTTCCTGTTTACTATCTAATAAAGTGAGGAGAAAATAATTTATATAAAAAACACAGCACATCTTCTTTGCTGAGGCCACCAAGGACATGTGTGTGTATGTGTGCGTGTTGTTGTTGTTGTTGAGAGTGACAGTGCATTGAAAGCATTTTAAAAGACAAGTTATGTCAAGAGAAAAAGGCATGAATTTATGAAGCTTTGGACTCAGAGCACTGTGGGTAAACCTATTTAGTGTACATGTGTTATGGGGACAATACATGGACTTGAATTCATTTACTGGAAACCAAGTCAAACCTTAACCCTAACCTTAACACAAATATGAATTATATTATGCAAAATAGATTCTCGTGAGTATTAAGTTCTGTTATAATATTGTTAGCCCCTCAAAAACATACCTGTAGTTATATTTTGTTTCATTCACACGTTTGAGTAACTTTTTGTCGACATCTCCAAAGCTCAAAATGCTCTGTCATGAAGTGGTAGTTTTCAAGTTAATAATTACCTTTTGTTCAGCGGAAATGGGCAATTCCAGGGCTGAAATAATCCATATGAATCTAGTGAAGGTGTTTGGAGTTTAGAAACACAGTAGATCACTTCCTGTAATACCACATGACATCACAAGGTGGAACGGAGTATTTTCTGTTTGAGAGAACTCAGCTTACATATGCAGGGTTTGTGTCTTAAACATGCATATGTGAATGAAACATAACACAACTCCGAATATGTTTTTGATGAGGAAACAACAGTATAACATAGATCAGAAAACAGCACAGTATACCTCATAAATAATAAAGCATTTACCTTCTGGGGATCTGATTTTTGTCCCCATACAGAAAACAGGTCCTCATGAATTCAAATACCCGCCCACACACATGCACACAGGCATCAAACAAAGAAACAACCCCAAAATCACTCCAAAATACAATGTGAATGTGCAACAATTTTATAGGTCATTTTAGACTTTAATACAGGGTCAAGAAAGCAAAGTACTTCACAAGTGTCTGTTCATTCGTATCATTATCAAGGGTGTAACATAATTATCAAATCTCATTACACGCACACATTAGTTTACCATCAACTATAATCAGTCTATAGATCGCACACTGAGGGAGGCACTTTGAATAGCTGCAGCACAGACCCACAAAATGCCCACACTGCCGGAGCCGCTCAGTGGGGCTTTTCTCATGTTTTTGCCTATGGTGTTTAGCAGGGCTGCTTGTATTACTCCCATAATCACCCCTGCTCTGTTCTGCTCTGGCTCACCAAAACAGAAGCTAATTTCATCTAACAGTCAACACATCATCACAAAAAACAGGTTTCACATCAGCAACAGAATGCAGCAGAATCCCTCACAGGTATTTCAGATAACACTCTGTGCATATAATCATTGTGAAAATACCAGCAAAGGTCAACATTTGGACTTAACATGAGAAAGGTCAGGCTTTTCACTTTCATATTTCCCCAATACACAAGCTGGGGGATAATGTTGCATGGTTAAAATAAAAATAGGATGAAAATCAAGCTTAAAAAGACATATTGTGAGAAATCAACCAAGCTTTTAACCTACAATGTTTTGTATTTTGATTCATATACATGTTTGAGTAATTCTGTATTGTCACTGGATGCTTGAATGCTCATAAAATTTCTTTTTCCTCCTTCCCCTGTTCCTGCCTTACCTGGCTATCAATAACCACATACTTTGATAATTCAAGTAGAAAGTAGAAGGGATTGGCTGCTCAGGCAAATCCATACCCACATCACTGTACTTCATGGTGATTATTTGAAAGACTAGGGGTGTGTTCACTCTTACGCTCACAATCGCCACATCAAACTTTGGATCAAACTGGGACTAAACCAAATTTAAACCAAAGGTAGACCACGACGGAACAAAAACAAATCTACAACAGGGCTTAAACTGAGCCCAAACCAGGAAAAGACTCTGAGTCATAGGGTTCAAAACAGTGCGCAGCCATTTTCCAGACATTAATATGTAGGAAATTTAAATATTTTGTATGCTACGAAGCTTAACAGTGACTCCTCGCCCCCCCAGTTACATTTTTCTTATAGACTTTCCGGGGGGGAAAAAATATATATAGTAAAAGTCTGAAAGTGTCATAGAATTGGCTGTGGCGTTTGTGCGCATGGATCATGCCTCTTGGCCCAATATCATGTTATAAAGTGGACTGGTTCCCGGTCTTTTGGACCTGTTCTCACTCAATAAATGGAGGGGACAGGTTTGTCCCTCTTCTCAAAGATTCCTGGTCTACTACTCTGTCACTGAAACTTGGTCCGCTACAAAAGTTTGCTCAGGGCTAACCATAGACAATCTATGGAGCTAACCAGCTAGGTCCTATGTGTGAAAACTAATGACCACAAGACCTATAATTTGATTTAGAGTCTGTCTCTGAAACTTTATTAACACAAAGTTCTTAAAACAGTTTACAGAATCTTGCGCTTTTTAATCGGCCTTTTTGGATTCAAAACAGCTGCGTTATGGATATTAGTTACCACGTAGGCCTAGTCTCCGCGATGTCTTTAAACTTTTATTTATCTATTTATTTATTTGTATTTTTTTTAAAGTAAAGTTTTAAAGTTCCTGAATTGAACTGGGCAGTCGCTACTGATCTCCATAGTACTGTGGAACTGAACTATGAAGAGACAGCCCTACTAGCATCAGGATCCGCAGCGGATCCGCTTTCGGTCCGCCAAATCCGCCCCACAGTCCGTCCGCTTTGCGGATCCGCTGCGTATTTGTTCCGTATTCACTTTCTGATTGTTGCTAACCCTAACCCTTGGATGGCCTGCTGTTACAGAGAGAATCTGCGGTTAAATCATCTTAGATGCGCACTGTGAACGTACTTTTAACACAACACTTTGTTTTTGACACAATGATTTGTACTATCAATGCGCGGATCCGCGGCTAAACCGGTTCGGTTTCGCTGCGCGGACGCGCCACTGACTCATCAGCCGTTATCGGGACCTGAGTGGAAAGAAGCAGCACCCACCTGTTGTCCGCGGATTTAACTGTAAGTAATTATTAAAAGTTAATTGTATTAGTCATCATGAATGTACATAACGTTAACGTTATATTGTGATGTCTGTAGATCTGTGACTGTGTGTGTTTTATCAGTTTTGACGAGTGCAGTAGGAAAGTTAGCGACAGTAGCAGCTAACGTGATAAAGACGATGTGAAGTCAGGAGTCAGGATAACTCCATCTCTTGAGGTAGATCCCAGTCTAAATACTATTTTTATATAAAGCTACTTATATTCTTGTATATTTTTACGATCACAGAATTGTAATTCTGCTCCGTGATCATTGGTCGTGTCTAACGGGTTCGGTTCTGGCTGGATGCCGCTCTCGGCGCTCTCCCTTCGGCTGTGGAGCGACGGTGATACCGGTGTCTGATCTGGTTGTGTTTTTAACCAGAGATAATTATTATTTGTGTAGACTAGAGTGTTGACTGTTGAGTTGAGACTAAAGTGCAGTCATGTCAGTGCCTTAATACAATAACGTAACGTAATAAAAAGCACAACTTTTAACAACAGCTAACGTTAGATAACCAACCAAAACTTATGTTGTTTTTCCCCAGATGACATCAGGAGCCCCTGTCCTTCTGCTGAGTGTCCCCATCAGGAGCCCGGCACGCTGATCAGAAGTAAGTACTTTTCATGGTTTCTGTGACAGTGAAGATTTAGTTTAGAGCCAGATCTGACTTTGTCTCTAACTTTCTGTTATGGGACTTGAGATGGTGCTTTAGGCTTTCAGTGAAAGGTCTGACATGTTGACATGAATACTAATGTGTCACATCTAAACTACACTGATATTGACTATGACCACCATCATAAATTGATTATTATATTTTAAATGTTGTGGTAAAAGCAAATGTAGTAGAGTATTGTATATTAACAGCAGTGAAATATGTCTCAATCTCATACTCAGGCTTATACTAAAACAAAAGAGTTCAGTTTTACTGCGCTAAAGTATTTCCTATGAGTTAAATCATGTTTTTCATCTCTGTTTCAGAATATACTATGGTTAATAAGAAGATGGACATAACAGCATGATATAGATCCTCTGGAGGTAAATACTGCTTTTGTATTAAACACTGAGGTCTGAAATGATCCAAACTGATATCCAAACTCTTATTTGATGTATTACAGAACTCCCTCTGCTGGGCCAAGTTCCGAAAATGTAGAGACAGACCCTCTGTAAGTTTACTGTATTAACCTACTTTTATTAACTTTCATAACTAAACATGCGTACATTATAATCACTGTTGTTGTGCTTATTGTTTCTTTCAGAACATGCTGTGGTGGAGTTTAAAGACTGACCCTCTGTAAGTGCATAGATCTCTCCAATCAAGTGTTTACCTTTCATGTTCAAATCACACAGCCACTGTCATGACTTACAATGTTCTTCACAAACCTGAACTCTAACTCCTTACAAGAATAAGAGGTGTAATGGGGTGTTTAATACACACTGGTGTCATTTCAGATGCTGTGAGAAAGGGGAAGCCCAGTCCTGGACACTGACAGACTGGATCTTCACCAGTAGGACTGAAGAGGAGCCAGACTCACTACACCTCTGCCTCAAAACCTCTGCCTCAGACTGAAGCTAAAGACAGAGGCTCTGAAGCTCCCACACTGCACACTCTATAAGAACAACCATCCGTCTAATTGTACTGTGGTGGGAAACACAAGTTAAGTTGTAGTTTGAACAGTATGGTATGGCTACACTCAGTCTCATCTGTCCAGGGTTTTACCCATATAGCTAATATTTGTTTTTTTGCTATTAAAAAAAAACCAAAAAACTTTGCTTAACTTGAACTATTTTTAGTAAAAACTGTAAATTGTCATTTTCATATTAAGAATGAAGCATTGGTTAACTCAAAGGGTATATAAGTCCTATACCATTAGTAATAATTATTCATGTCCTAAGATTTCTAATTAATGATTTAAATAAACATTGTTTACAATGTAAAAAATTTTTTTTTGTTTTTAAATTTAAGCCTTTATATCCTAGTTTTAATACTTGCTGTAAAAGTTTTATGTACAATTACAATGCAAATGCTGCTGGTGTGTATTTAGGTCAGTAGGAAGTGGATCAGTATTAAATATATAACCATATTTAGGCTCCTAACGACACAGTAAACAGATCCGCGGCAGATCCGCGGCAGATCCGGGGCAGATAACCCGGTTCTGAAAGCGGATCCAAAACGGGTCCCGGGCGAATCCGCGAGATACGCAGCGGATCAGCCGCGCCTTCGCCGCGGATCCGGGCTTATTTTGACGGATCCGCGGCGGAGGCGCAGCTGAACCGCTGCGGATCCGCGCGACGGATCCGTTGGGATCCGTTCTGCGGATCCGCCGCGGATTTTTTTTGCTATGTGGGAGGCCTATCAGTTTACAAGTTTTGCACTCAATTTTAAGTAAATTGTCCTATTATGGTGTTTTAGATTAATACTCAGGTTTACATTGAACAACTGTAAAAATAATGATATGATATTGTTCAAAAGTAAACAGTCCTAAACATGTGACCCCTTTAAAGAGGACCTCTCCGCTCCACTGGCATGCTCCACCGACACAACTGTGTCATAAAGCATCCACCGTATCCTGATATATATGTCCCTTCACAGTGATTTCATAAATAATGTAAATATTGTAAAGTGTCCCCCTCGGTGGAACGCAACAAGCCAGTCCATCGTTAATCCAGCGCCTCCGTGTCAAGTGTGAGCGCAGTGAGCGCTTAATCACACGACGGCGGCGGATCCCCGGGAGGAAGTGGCATGCATCAGTGGCGCTGCAGCTGAAAATGACAATCAGCCAGTTCAGCGATGGCTCCAATGATCAGGCATATCAATGAGGCCGGAGGAAGACGCCGAGAGACCCCCCCAAAGCACGACACAGACACGGGGGAGCGAGAGAGGAAGATTAATGATGCGCAAACATAGGCTGTAACAGAAGGACTCTTACAAGGTCTCCAGCAAATTTAAGAAAAATACGCACAGTAATATGATGATGTGTAGAGATACAAAGCAGCATGGTTTACTCAAAGACTGTATCTATGTTTTTATAGAGTGTATGGTTTCACCCAAAGAAGTTTAAATTTTGCATTACTAGAGGAATAAACTTGTATTTTTACAAGTATAATGACAGTATATTCTAAACACAGACTGTGTTAAAGCCCTAATGGCAGTTTTCAGATTCATGAATGTGATTATGTCATACTCTCACATGGGGGGCAAGTGATAGTTTTACTTAATGAATACATTGTACTTTGCTATGAAATATCCCAAATTTAAATTCATAAATACAGAGCCTGATTAATTATAATAGTTACTAAAGAACTCACCATGTTAACCTACAACAAACATCTGATGTGTTGTGATATAAAAAAAAAACAACAACAACAAACAAACAAAAAAAGCATTCTCCATTAGCCCTACTTCACTCTGTCTTACATGGTTACATGGCCCATGGTTACCCGAACAAGGTAAAACTACTTTTTTCAGTAGATTACAGGTCAGGCACTTGCAGTATCCATGGTTACCACAAAGTATTGGTATCGCTTTATTGTGAGAAGTATCCATGGATACTGTACCATATTCTACAGAGAAACAGAAGCACCGTGTAACTTTCTGATGGGGGGGTACCTGCATGACTCCAATGAGATAAAAAGTTAAAATCATATTCAATTCAAGTCAATTACAACACTCTAAATGCAATAACATCTTCATGAAGACATGAAAGTGATAAATCAGGTTTACGTCAAATCAAGCCCTTTAAGGTATTGGATTAAAACACTCAATGATATAAATGTTGTTGTTTTTTTTTTTTTTTTTTTTTTGTTTTTTTTGGAGGGAATCGTTGGAAAACCATGGCAACAGGCAACAATGCAGAAGAAAAACACCTGAATATGATGTCGCCTTTGTTGAGCCTTATGCCTTGTTAATTTGTTATTAGAAAGTGGCAGTTAGCACACAAGGACAACAGAGATGGACGAAACACTTAGAACTATGTGCATATACGGTATATATTAAGACAATGATTGCAGAGTTTGGATTCTAATCTGATATCTGCTACTTCACCTATGCATCTTGAAAAATTTAGTTTTAGACTTTGCGAAAGAACTGTACATCTTTGACATTTAATACATGTTGTTTGAGACTGTTAAAAATAATCCACCATGGGCAAATGTCATGTGTGTCAAGAGCTGAGATGTTGTGATTTTATTCTCTTGTCTGTAGGAGCATTTCTAGGCCTATTTCTTTCTGTTTGGTACAGACTGAGTAGATGAGCATAGGGTCTTGAAAGGCATTCTCAGTCACTTGAGCAGTAAATAAGTGTATCAATTGCTTCTCTTTCTCGTCCTTGTTCATTTGTTGTTTTAGGTCAGACACTTTTGAATGTTTCTCGGATGAATTGGGTGCTGTTGTCTTCAAAGCTGACAAGCAACTAGCGTGATCTGCTATTTGGTGTGACACTTCTGTTGACAGGGAATACCACTTTGTAAAGCTGTCAAGTGTGTTGTTTACATTCAGCTTGTTGCTCTGTGGCACTTCAGCAAATCAAATCAAGACCTTTTTCCCTCCAAGCTTTTGTTGTCTCATTCTTAACTTTTTACACCCCAGTAAGCTAATATGAACCCTGTCTCTTATTGAGCAATGCAGTTAATCTCTGCAAGATTTATGTGATCCCGGTCTACCCAGCTTACCACTTGTTCTCTTTTTCTCAAAGCGAAAGTACAACAGTAACTCATCTCAAAAAGTTCAGCCTACATGTCTAGTTTTTGTCATTTATTATCTTGACAAATGTGTGGGATTGTCTTTCTTGGTTTAAGGCAATCAAGTTTCTTTTGCTAGAAATGAGTCAAAGATAGATTGATGAGGGAAGAGACTGGTTAAAGGAAGGCCAGTAAGAGCTATGTATTATATTATTATAGTTTATGTATTATATTCTTAGAAGCAAACCTAGTAAAATAAAACACACTTGTAAAGTACACATGCAAGTGCAAGACGACAAATAGCCCTTAGTGTTTATGTTATTGTATAGCATCCTTGACAAGAACTACGGCATACTCACTAGAGGGCGTCATTTACAAAGAATGGGAAACAAAAGGGACTAAGAAATAGTGGTCTTATAAATAAAATACAATGTAAATGCGGGCTGTAAAATTACAGCAGACACATGATAATGACAAAAATGAGTATTGTTGATAATGTTGTGACTTTGCTCAACATTGATAAAGGATAATACAACGTAAAATTACAAAATGATTTTATTATTCATATAAACTACTACAAAATTCTTCAACAGGGTTTTTCAGAGGCAAGACAAAGTAAATAATGTGGTCATGTAAAGTATTACAATATCACAAAAGTACAAAACAAATACAAACGGTTTGTGTGAATAGCTCCCCTCTGAACGGGGAGACATGTTGATCCTGAGAATCACCCATATGTGCATGAGTATTGTAAAGTCTTTTTTTTTTTTTTTTATTATTAGTTTGCTTGTCGCACTCCTACATATGTAAACCCCAAATGTCCACTTATTAAGAAAGTATTAGGAAGCTGTGAGGACTGAGATTAACACTGCATAGATGATTCATTCACACCACAGACATGGATCAGTTTCATTTGAGGGTTCCAGAAGAGTCCTTCTGCTCAGTGGCATATGTGAGCGAGGAGCGTTTAGCTGTGGCATATGTAGCATAGGACGGGGCAGAGGAGAGCGGAGGCATGCGGGGGAGTGTGGCTGTGGAGGTGGGCAGGGGCTGAGTCTGTCTGTCAGCCGGACCAAACAGTGGAGACGATGTCCTGCCTTTGGTTTGTAGGCTGCTACTACTGCTGCTCTGAAGGGGAGATGTGGATGTTCTAGGACCACGGGTCAAAGACGAAGTGGAAGAACTGGAGAGTGGTGAGCTCCTGATGCCATAACCCAAAATACCTGTGCTCATGAGGAACTCCCTGGATCCATAAGCAGGAGGGGTAGGCCCACGAGAGCCTATGTGCCTAATATTTTCTGGTGGAAGACTTCTTCTATTTGGAATGTCATAAATTCCCATCTCTGTACCAATAAGAGGCTGAGGTCTTCCATGTAGCCGAAACATCCTGTCACGCTCATCCATGTCTCGCCTCTCATGAATAGACGCCATGATTGTTTTTGAAAAGTTGTCATAGCGTGCGGCCGCAGAAGGAGGGGGGACATCGCGTGTGGTTATGCTCTGAGATACTAGGTCCCTCGCCATGAGACCTGGAAAGGAAGGGGAAGTGTCTCTCTGTAAAAAACCTGGGAATGAAGGAGAGGGGTCCCGGGAGCTGAGAGCCTGCAAAGAAGGTGATGGGTCTCTGGGCTGCGGCGACTGTCGGGCTACCCCCATGAAGACAGGGCTGTAAGCATGTGGGGGCGGGAAGTTCTGCACTAGGGTCCCGTCAGAGGCTAAGGTCATGAAGTGTGGATGGTAGCTGATAGTGGCTCCGCCTCTCTGAGCCAGAGGCTGTGGGTCAGGGGAGCTCATGAGGTTGTCATAGGAGAGACTGCTGTGGTTGGGGAAGATATTAGATGTTGGCATAATACCGGGTTGTGGGTTTGAGCCCAGAGCGTCAAAACCCGGCAGCTGGGATTTGTTGCCGTGACGACTGTTGTGTTTGAGATTGAGAGAGCGTGAGTTGAGAGTCAGGGAGCTGAGAGGTAGTGAACCTGGCATGGTGCTGGTGTGCAGGCTGCTTTGAGATAAGGTGGTCATGTAGCCTGGCTGTGCAGCTTTCACTGGACTTTCTCGGGACCTCTCAGGACTTCGTCCATTTGTCTGTTGCTCAGATGCCTTCAGCAACTACAAGAAATACATTTATATTGTATTATTTTATATTGCATATCAAATCAAAACTACAGTAACAGTATACCAATACAACACATATGCCTGTTCATAAGACATTTATTCATCAAATGCTTATTTTAAGTAAAGTAAGGACCTAAATTACCTGTTCTGGGGGGATGGGTGAGGATCCTCTGGAAATGGCCTCCAAAACTGGACGCAGTTGTGGGACAGTGGGGATGGACACGGGAATGATGGATTTTGTGTGGTGTCCCATTTCTAAAAACAGACAGCATGTTAAAGTAGTAAATCAGTTCTAATGTGGGATATTTACACAGATGCATCATTTTGATGTAAAAATATAACCATACTGTCTAAAGCTGCCAAATGGCTCTTGAGGAGTCCATGCTCTGGTTTGGGAGGGAGAGGAGGTGGAGGTTTCAATTGTTTTAAGTCTGACAGTTCAACAGCTCCAGATGATGAACACTAGTGGAAAAAACAACAAGACCACAGGGACATGAGATCATCTGAATGCTCTTAACATGTTTTGATGATGATCATTTGGGAAGATTTTTTTTTCCCTTAAAGCACGCAGTGTGGACAAAAACAGCCGCTGGGAACTGTAACTGAATTGATTTAGGAAAGGCGATAGCCCATACATTTTTCTGCACATCTTGTATCCCGTTGTCCTTGAGTTTTACAGGTAACTGCCGATCAATCTCTGGTCGAAGGAATGGTGGCTGAACTTGAATTGTGTTTTTTTTAAAAGGTCTTCCAGTATATCTAAAACAAATGATTCTGTTACCAAAAAGTGTTGCAAAGCATTCTGAAATGTTTATTATCACTTACTTTGGAGAAATCGGGCTGCAAACCAAATACTCCAAATTTTTACAACAGCCTCTGGTGAAAGGATTTACTCCGCCTTGAAACTTGCCTGTTACCTGGGGAGAGATAAATACCTCACAAACATATATCTTCATTTATCCACTGCAGACATTTATACAAACATTCATAAAGTGTCATCCTCAAGTATACACAAACTACATGTCATGGTCACAAATTGTCTGAGCAGAGCATGTCATCCAAGTTGAAAATCAGACTACTATTGATCTGTGTTTTACATTTGGGAATGCTGAATTAGTTTAACTGCTTTAACATTAAGAAAGGTTTGTTCAAGTACAAAAACAGTTTCTTGACTAATACACTTTTTATTATTAGAGACTGCGTTTCATATACATTGATGAGAGTTAAAATCAAGATTTAAAAGTGATGAATGATAAAATAAAATTCAACACAATTCTGTTCATCAAAAACTTCTATGAGGAAAATGTCAATGACTTAAAGTCATGACCACAAATCACTATATTTATAATTATCCTATAATTATCTTTTAAATGTTATTTTATTTCATGCAAGCATAGTTGATAAAACAATTGGGGTAGCCATGGTTCTCAAAAAATTATGAATACATTTGAGCTTCCTGTTTATAAGCAAAAGTTTAAAGGCACCATATTATGCATTTTGGTCTATTATATTGTTTCCTCATAAAACACATACGTGGAGTTTTGTTTCATTCACATATGTTTAGTACACAAACCCTGTGTACTGTATTTTTAAACTCCATACACCTTAACTAGAATAATTTGTATATTTTCAGACCTGGATTTTCCAATATGTACTGAACTAAAGGTACAAGGAGCTGTTCACCTGAAAACTACCGCTTCATAACATCACAAGATGGAACAGAGCATTTTGATCTTGGGAGATGTACACACCCCATTAATGCAGGGCAACAGTTTTTGATGAGGTAACAACATTATAACATGACTTAAAGATCACAAGAGTCACTTTTACATCATATAGAACCTTTAAGCTTAACCTTAAGCTTTAATCTTTAACTTTACTTCTGGTTATTCAAATGGTAGAATATTGCGTTTTGATTCTTTAATTGCTATAGCAACAGTGACATTTTTATCACTCTGAAACCCATAAACAGGGCAGTTATTTTGGCAATGTCATAATTCCTATGTTACATAAGAGGAATGTGAAGATGAAATAACGTAATCTAACCTGTTCATTGGTGGTGCGGCCTCTAGAAACCAGGTACAAATGAAACCCAGAGAGTCCCAACACAGGAATAAGAAATAGTCCTGATATACTAACCACCACCAAACTGTAAGTCCTGCTAAGGAAAATTAAGAATAATTTGATATGAGGTAGAGAAATTTAAAAAAAGGGCACAAAGGATACGTGACTGTGCAGTGCAGCTCCCACAGCTCATCTGAGTTGTTCATGATGTATATGAGACCAAAAGTCAACACAGCAACCATATGAAGTGTCAGTGACAAGAGAAACAAGAAGAAGTAACGGTAATTCCTCCTCCCAATGCAGTTGTTCACCCATGGACAGTGATGGTCAAAGTCCTGCGGAAAATAACAACACATGATAGATTGGGTATCAGCACAGCAATGGAACATGAATAGTTTAGTTCAAAATCTTCAATGTTATGGTCAATGTTATATCTTTGTAGTATTAGAGTCATTAGGTCTAATTCAAAATCGTTGCCTTGTTTTTGATATTTCAAGCTGTATGCTTTATTTGACAGAATTGTCAAAAGTGAGGAGAGAGACTTGACACAGATCTTATCATATGTGCTGCACTAGGACACTAACCTCCACACAGTGATCACAAACACTGCAGTGGGAGCATCGCGGTGGTCTATAGAAATGACATGAGCCACACCACTTCATCCGAACCTGGACTCCATTCACATCCATATTTTTGTAAAGTGGTGCACGAAACTCCTCCTCCTTGTCTTCATCCTCGTTTGCTGAAAATTTACATATAATATTTCGACATATAATTTGGTAGAATATACAATTTGAGCACATACCTATAGGAAGCACACCCGCATCCATGAAAGTTGCCATGGTGAAATTGGCCAGCACAAACAGGAAGATGACAGCACAGCATGGTGGAACAGCTGGAGAGATGGTCACTGCCAGCCACGGACATCTTGACATAAGCAAAGAAATGTTTCAACATGTTATCTGACTTAAAATGGCAAAGTTATCCTCATAAGAAAACCTTAATTCTCTCAAAAGTAATTGTTTGCTGCTGAAGATTAGTATGTCACACAAGGGGTTTGGCCACAGGGTGCCAAACTACAACATATTTATGTAAGACTGGACATCCCTCTTAACTGAGCAAGGTTGTGAAAGAATAATAAATGAGAATAAATGATAAGAAATCAAACATCAGTGGTCAAATGGCACTGAAACTGACTGAGGTCACATAAGATGGTTTAAAAATATCTGCCTTAAGTAGGCTACATTGCCCAACTGACAGCAGGCATCAGAATTTAAGCACAATTAATTGGTTATGCAAAAGAAAAAAAGTGCCTCATTTGCAATAACATCAACAATGTGACACTAGTTATTGCAGATGAACAGAGAGCCGGGAATGAGAAGAATTCTATATTTCATAGGAGTGTGTAATAACACATGGGAAATATTGATACACATCCTTATAAAATCATCACAAAGTGTTTTTAGGTAATTTCACCACAGTATTCAAGCATAATATTTGAATAAAGAACCTATGCTTTCTGCATAAACATACAGTTTCATATCAAACTCCTGTGGATAATAAAGAATGTTTTACTGTCACAGATTTTCAGGAGGGACAGTTTAATCAGGTTGTGCTGACTGCAAGGAAAAGATTTCCTGGATTATATTAACAGTGTTTGATTGAGCCACATGTGTAACCTACATAAACAGTATGGCGATAGTCCACTAGATGGTAAAACATGGGTTACATGTAGTGAGACTGTTGAAATGTATAAAAAAGACATACATTTATACAGTTGCCAAAGCACACTTCTTTTACCTGATGTGACCAAAGTTTTTGCCAAAACTACTGTCACTGTCATTATGAGACATTCAGTTTGTGTGTGGAGCTCCAATCCCCAAACCTGACTAGGTTTAGCCGGTGGGGGAGGGGTACCCCCGATGATGCCATGCCAGATGCAAACCCAGTAATCCCTGGATTATGAACTCTGGATTACAGACTATTTCTGACAGTCCCGGGCTCATTGAATCTTCACATTAGATACTAAGAGTCCAGCCTAAACATTCCACCACTAAACTGGCATTTTTCTATGTATAAGTATGAGATCACAGTGTGTGAACAAATTATGGAAATATTATGAGATTTCTTCCATGGACTTCAGGATAATTCTGTGATCCTTACAAAAAGATTAAGGAGAAAACATGATCCACCCTGAGGATTTGTATCTAAGTTCCTTTTGAACATGGTCATGTTTGACATGCTTAAACTATTACAGCTCATAAATTACAATAAGCACTAAACTTTTCAAGTGTGTGGGTTGTTTATAACTAATTTCCTGTGGCACTAATCTGAAACAGTTCAACATTTTCACCTCACAATTACCTATTTGGTTTATTGTGGGAATTAAGGAAATAAGGTACATTTTATTGTCCCTATGAATTTGACCCATCCTTCAATCCTGCTAGAGTAACCTGACAGGAGTCATCCCTAGATCTTGAGGACCACCTTAGCTGGAGGTTTTGACCTATTGTGCATATTTTGAGCTGATGAAGGAAACCAGAGTGCCCAGAGGAAACCCACCCAGACACAGAGAGAAACATACAAACGCCACAAAGAAAGGCCCAGGCGGAAAACCCGAAACCTTTTTGCTGTGATTATATTAAATAAATAATGTGTTGATAAAACGGTGAGAAACACTACAAGTTCTTTAACACTGGGTGTGTTAAAGAAAAGTGGTGTGTGTGTGTGTGTGTGTGTGTGTGTGGGGGGGGGGATTTGCTGACTTCATCAATCTTACATTAGTAGGTCAGTTAGTTTCTTAGTTGTACAACCATAATTTCAACTAAAAGAATTGAAATGATCATATGCATCCTTAATTTGAACAGTCTCATCTGCAATAGTTTAACTAATTGTCAAAAGAAGCTTTATTCACAAAAGATCTCTATATTTACAACAGAGTTGGTTAAGGGAATACGTCAGTGTTGCTGAATGCCTCAGTGATAGAGGAGATGTCCCTCATAATGAAAGGCCCGGGCGGAGCTGTGTTAAATCTCAACACTCAACAGTAAAATGCTGGGAAATCTGCTTCCAGCGCTCATCTCCATAGCGGGTTAGTAGAGCAAAGACAGAGCACACAAGTCAAGTGTCACAGTACAATGACACTACCATCTTGGACATTCATATTCAGTATTACAATACAACATCACCTCAGTAAGATGGATCACTCAAAAGTGAACATAATGCCAACTATATGTATTTTCTTGTATGCAATATCTATTTGGAAAAATCTGTTCAATTTAAAGCTAACGCAAAAACAGCCAAACTTATACTGTACATCAGGATGCACTATGACTGCAGGTTAATAAAATGTCTGGGCGTTCCCTCTAAATATTGAAACAATAAAGGTCAGAGGACAAAAAGGAAATGGTAGAGAAACAAAAGGCCAGAGTACATGTGTTAAGCAACTTAGTAGCAGAATAAACACTGTGTTAAGTTAAGTAGTGCTATGTGTTTGTCTGGGATTTCTAAAATTTGAAATAATCTGTTTTGTTTTTAGGTTAACAGGTCGTTTGATCCCAGTTCTACCACAGGTTCAATAACAAGCTAATTCATTTCTTTATGGTTAGCCTATTTATCATGCACACTGCCCTGGTTCTGCTGGTTTTGCACTGAGCTCCCAATTAAGTAATGTCCTCTGTGCCCATCACATTAGCAGCCATTGATTTTACTTTATCCCTAACGGAGTATTTTAAATTTCCCTTAAAGACAAGCCTAAAAGTCTATGTGCAATGAAAATAATGTTTAATATAATGCTGTTTTTATTCTTGATGCACAATACAGCAAAGAAGAAAACACGCTTTTTGATAAACATAAAATGCCTTGATGTACTATTATATTCAATGAATATGTATTATAATGACAACTGTACATAAAATAATGTATTTTCTTTAAACATTTAATAATTATGTTGTCATGTTTGTATAGATGTATTTTAAATCATGGGGTAACCATGTACTGCAAACCATGTACTGTGAGGACTATAATGTAGACTAGATTAGTATTTTATATTCATAATACTATTCAGTATAAAATAGTGATAGATTACAGGATAAAATCAGTCAAGACAATATTGTCAAGTGAATCAGGTTTTTGTTCAGTATTTCCCAGATGGGGATCATCACGCATCCCACCATCCAGAGGATCTTAATCCCATACTCCCAATCTGGTGTCATTTTCCAGTGGAAACATGCTTGGCTATACAATACAGAGAAAGTAGGGCAGATATGGCTACATAGGTCAAAGTTCAATAGAATAACACTGAGCTGATGAGGTACAAGTCTTTGTTTAATGTGACTACTGTGGCCACAAGTAAGCTTTACCCTAAATTAGGGTACCCACTGATCTCCATACAGAATAAAATTTTGTCCACTGCAGAACACTTATTAAAACGTGGATTCACTGTATATTAATAAATAGGTCCAAAGTGACTAACATCATTCATTATGAAAAATGAAATGATGTCAGTGTAAAATAACTTTCTGAAAGTGACAGGTGTGTATTCCAGCTGCAATAATGACAGTGAGACTGTATGCATTTTGATTACAAGGGGCTTATCCCCTTATCTGTGCGTATGTGACCACAGGGTGCCCCGGGCACCGTGCCAGGCCATTGAGGCAATCAGGTCAGAAGTGTACAGAAGGGAGCTTCCCTGTATCTAACACGAATCAAGACAGGACACACTAGTGTAGGATCATAGTCAGTTTACAATTGAGCGGACAGTTTAGAATTAAAAGGTATGTCAAAGTTAATGTCAAAATTTGGTGAACTTACAAAAAAGAAGCCATTATTTACTCGGCGAAAAGGGTGCAATTTATGTTGTTCATCATTTTCTACTTACGTAAAGACAAAGAAGAGAGACGTGGATCCAAAAAGGAGACATGCAGCGGTGCACACCGGGATGAAGGCGCTGGGTTTGAGCGAGTCTGCGCCACTGGTTGGCATGTTGTCCTCTGCCACTCATGCGCGACTCCAGCAGTTAAAAACTAGTATTCGCTCAATGAAGAGTGCCCTTGACAGAGCCATGTTTTGTCTTTGAGCTGCAGGCAAATGAAAACCATGTTAAGATTTGGGAATGAAGGTCGCTCGGTGGTGACGCCAGCAGCTGTGTGCCCCGCTGTGCCGCGAGTGTGTCCGCAGCAGCAGGGCAGATGCTGCTCACGATTCATCCTAGATCCCCACACCGGCCCCAATCACCAGGCCGACATGCGTCTAGCGCAGCTGCGCGTCAGATCGCGTAACTGCAGCGTCGCACAGACGCAAAGAGGTCCAAATAATAGACATGTATTAACATAACTGACTTTGTTTGTTTATCAGTGCAGATACATATGTTCAATGGAAGAAGACGCGCCACCGAGTCTTTTCTGGAATCATGCGCATTTGACGTAGGTTGTAGGTAGGCTATCACAGGTATATGCGTAAAAACGCGCCAGAAATCGCAGCAGACGCACATTCATGACAATATTATGTGATTGTAAATTACACTAAACAGTGATGAAACTTTTTTTCATCGACAGGAATGCTGGATTGAGAGGCTCTGCATCTCGAAAAAAAAGTGTACCAACCAAAGGGCCCTTGACTGGTGGGATTAAAGTTGTTTTTTATCATAACAGAAAGTCATTTGACTGATTTAGCGCGGCACATTTAAAATGGTTGCAGAATGTACAGCAGCCTGCATTAGGCTTGGATCCATGTCAAATGTTTGCATATACAACTTTAAATTACTAGAAAACAGAAGGTCCAGGGCCAATAAAAAATGTCTGATAGCTGCATTTTGCATTTGCTCTTAGTTTGGACAATCCTGCACATTATCCTGTTTCTGCCATTATGCATCAGTATAATAATTGTAAAGTAATACTGATAAATTATCACAGTAAAAATAATTTGGCCTACTACAAAAAAAAAACAATCATATTTGGAAAATAAAGCGCAGATAATTCTAATAAAACGTACCAACATGGCCAAATTGTTCTGTTACGAAGTGTAGAACTAAAATGCCCTTAAAATGAAAGCCTCTGTGGAAATACAACACATTAATAAACATTGAGGAGAAATTACTTAAATAGTAAAGGTAAGAGGTAATTAAATCTGTTTGATGATCAGTTCATGATAAAATAAACAGCTTTTCAACCTGCTGTTTTGTCCACTTTGTTTTGTCCAGGGATAGAGACCAAAGTCTAGTCTTCTTGTTGGCAGCTGGTAGAAGTTGTCTTGAGTGCGCGCTCTGGGTCCACAGGTGATTAGGACAGAAAAAGACCCCAGAATGTCCAAAGACAGCTCCAGCTCTCACTGTCTCCAAAATACTCACTGCCAATAATCAAAACCTATTAACTGTACTATCCACTGGGAGACCATGCATAGGCTGAAAAACAATTATAATGCACTAAAGCTGTTAATTCCCATGAGGACTGTTCTGCTACTTACTCGAAATAGAGTTGTTCAGCAAATACTTGCAACAGTCAAAGTAAACCACAGATACAGAGAAATCAACTCTCGTGGATGGCATTTTGGTAAATAAGCAACAATAACAAATGTGATTACGCATGTGGGACTGCTTTAGGAAAAAAAACAATGTTTTTAATGTGTTTTTGATCAGTGACAGGAATGGGAAGAATTAACCACAAAACACATTTAACAATATTACTCCACTGCATGATCAGCCAAGCCTTTTTTTTCAATTATTATTATTATTTTTTTTTTAGATTTTGAAATAATTTTAGATTACATTAGATACAGTAGGGACCTGCTAGGCTAAACCTAATGGCTAAAGAATAAGACACCACTGACCTTTACTACTTTACCTTGCAAAAGAAGATCTTGTTCTTTTATCTGAAGATCTGAACTCTGTAAAACAACAAGAGAACAATTCCAAGAGAAGCTTTGCACCAATAAATTTACACAGCACAAAGATGACACAGGGAAACATAAATAACATAATGAGACCCAACTGCCCCTGTGTCCCAGTGGAAGTAGCACGCAAAAAGGAATGGGCAGGACTTGTTCCATTTGGATATAAATGTCTCAGCCTGTCCATACAGCTGCATTGTTAGTGTTGACTTGAAGCAATGGAAGCAGAGGAGCTGGTTGAATCCCTCATCAGAGCTCTCATGTTCATTGCTGGGGTCTTGGGAAACAACTGGTTGGCTATTCGTTCCTTACCAAAATCCCTATCTGCATTACGTACCAATGAGATTCTATTCCTCAACCTGGCTATCTCCAACCTCATCACCAACTACCTGGTAGATCTCCCAGACACTATGGCAGACTTTGCGGGCAGTTGGTTCTTAGGAGAGACTTACTGTGGGGTGTTCCGTTTCTGTGCTGACTTGTCTGAAACCAGCAGCATTTTTACCACTTTCTTCATCAGCATTTTTTGGCACCAGAAGTTGGTTGGGTCCCTTAAAAGAGGTGGGGGTCCCGTGCACATGGACGGCCTGTGCTTGGTGGCGTGCCTGCTGGCTGGAAGTTGGACAGTGGCTGTGGTGTTCAGCATGCCACACTTTTTCTTTGTCAAAGTAGAAGGAACCAATGAAAGTGAGGTTGACTGCATAGATTACTTTCCAGATGCCATAGCAGGACAAACATATGAAATTATTTACTTAACCTTGGCAAACGCTCTTCCACTGGCTGGGATTTTAACCATCAGTGTCCAGATTGTGATCACCCTCCTTCAAAACCACAGGCGCGTCAGAAGTCACAAAACTGAACTCTCTGTGAAAAAAAACACAAAGAGGAATGATGAGAACAGGAATGATGTTGTAATTACGCAAGGAAAATCATCATCCAAAATACAGGCTCCAATTCAAGATGGCCAGCAAGAGGCTCTCCCAAGACCACCTCAGATGTCAGTAAAGGCTGGCTCCAGCATCCAAGTGAGGGCAGCTAAAAGTGTGGTGGCTGTGGCCAGTGTTTTCTTGGTCTGTTGGTTGACTCACATGCTCTTGCGCATCACCAATAACATTCACATGTCGTCAATCGTGGTGGAAGTTGCCAGTTACATTGCCTCCTCATATACATGCATCATTCCATACATTTTCCTGTATGGAGTGAAAAAGCTCTCCTGCTCATGCAGCTCATAGAGACTGAATAAACAAAAGTGTATGGAAGGTTAAACACCTATGGTCGACCATGTTTTGGTAAAGCAGAAAAATGGTAATAGGCTACTGTTCATAAATTAATAAGTGACATTTACTTTTGGCCCATTGGCTTTTTGGAGAAAACAGTGGTAATACACATTATCAACGCTATAATTGATTTAATTCATGCCTCCAACACCTTTTATATTTGTAAACTTACAATAATAACCCTTTGTCTATTTAAAAGTATTTTATTTAATAATTTACTGTTTACTACTATTTTGTCATATATTCATAGGGATGTAATTATATCTGAATCTCTTGCACATTGTCAAAAATGTTGTATCATCTCACAGTACAATATTTGTTGCAATATTTTGTGAATATGCTATTTTTTTCTTTTAAAATGCCTTGACCAGTAGTAATAAATAAGATTTGTATGTACTTAATAACAGTTTCTCTTTATGCTTTCTGCACTGAAACAGCAAATGATTGTTGTATCACATGGTTCGCTCTGCTCTCTGTTGCTGCATCATAACAATGAATTTAAGCAAAGACACTTGCACTTTGATGTATTGTGATGTCTCATGGTATTGAGACTTTTGACGATACAAGATCTAAATATTTTGGTTATTGTTACATCCCTCTATATTCATGCAACTAACACTGATCAGTTTAAACTTTTCTATATCATTAAACAATCTACAATGGTTCTCAAAAATGTTAAATTTTTACAGATTATATCCAAAGATGTATTGCTCTTGCTATTTACAATAGCTGCAGATGCAGAGAATTACCAGTGAATGAAAATGTGCACACAGCACAAATAAAATTACACATAATTGCCTACTACTGTGTACAGCTAATAAGGAAAAAAACGACCTCAAGCAATTAGTTTCAATGACTGAAAGAAAACGTAAGTGTGGATTGCAATTAAACGCAATTATAGAAACAAACATTCAACCAATTATTAGATAATGTCACAGGATGTCATTTATTTAAGGCACACTGCAAATTATTTTAGAAATGTTTTCTATTTTGTTCAAAGCATAAATATACAAAAGCAAAGACCACTTAATTTTTATTTAATTTTTTTTATGAGGAACAATTATTGGGTTCTAAAAAGGTTAAGGAAAAGACCAAATAAAAAGACAGACAAAATCTATAGGTTTGTTTCAATTAGTAGAGTTTTGGCCACATTTTGTACATAATTTCAACATTGAGCACCATTACTAAAGGAGACAGACAGTATACTGCTCTGATAACCATGTTATTGTCAAAAACATGTACAACATTGTATGCTCCAGACACAATTAACATGGGTTGCATTATTTATCAGATAACAGAAATAGTAAAAATTGCCACTATCAAATTGTATTAAATAAGTTATAAAACTGTCAGATCTCCTAGTATGTGTGTGGGAATTTCCCATATCTGCAGATGAGAGGAACTAGGGAATATACATGTGCATTTGTTTAATGAACCTAAGAGGTCAGCTGTGACAGGGCTGGGGTCACCTCTCAGTGGAGTTTCTCTAGCTTGGCCTGCAGTGCTTTAAAATTACTGATGATGTGTTGAAGAGTTGAGTTTGGGCTGAGAGATTGTAACTCCACGAGGTAGCCACAGATGTTGTCAAGACACACATTGGTAAACCTGCGTCTGAAAATACAAAAACATGTTGTCAGTTTATTACAGCCCCAGTAAATAAAATATCTAGCATGAATATAACAACAGTCATGCTTACCGGTCATAAGTTGGTACTTTGCTCGGGTCATCCACATATCCAGACAAAAGGACATGAATACACTCCACCAAATGAAGTGGCTTTTTCAGACGTTGCCAACAGGGATCCTACAGACACAAGTTATACACACCAAATTAGTACAGCTCTTCTGCCTTTTTTAACAAATAAGCCAAAACAAATGAATACACGTACCCGTGTTTTGAACAGTTGGTCATAGACTTCAAGAAGACGTGGCAGCTGTACTCCAATCTCCAGCATGGTGGAGGTGACAAAACCAATGTCCCAGTTAAGCCGGCACACCTCCTGCTCCAAAAACTTTACAAGGAACTCTGGAAAGGCACAGGTGCATTATATGATTTATATTCTTATAACTCTGTACATGTATAAAAGTGATTCTGTATCTCTGTGTACCAGTACTTTTGTCATTAAATGTGAGACAAAAAGATCACGTTCTCACCTAAAGGAAAATATCTTGGTGTTCCAGCATACATCCTTCCCAGTGCAATCAGCTTCAAACTGAGAGACCTCATTCGATCTATGGGACTCATGGCCACAGAGTCTGCCAGTTCTGAATGAGATGCATCATAATCACAGGTGTAATTAATAAACTCACAAACTGTGATAAATGAAAACAACTGTACCAACCTTTCTCCATGATTTCTTGCCATAGTGAATGAACCAGGATAGGGTCAGAATGTCCTGCACAGTGAATAATGGCCAGCTTGCACTCAGATAGTTTATAGAGGTCGGCAAACTCCCCATAGAGCTGCATACATTAACATGAAATGTTTTCAAAATTTGTACATTGAGTGTTTCTTAACATTATAAAGTTGTAAAACCCAGCATGGCCAATCAGAAATTCAGTTCTAGAACAATAGGATTAACACTAAAAATGGGTTATGTGTGGAGAGTAACATTGTACTCTAGAAATAATTATAATGCATTGTAGACATTCAGGGCTATTTGCATTGAATTATTCATTCTAGTGATGTTAAGCCACAAGTAATGTTCTAAAAGCAGTTAGAATTCATGCTACAGAAACTACTTTTAATTCAGTCATTTTTGTTACCTTGGTAATATCCATAAGCTCAGAGTCCAACTGAGAGATGACTGATTTCACAGAGGGGTGGTGGGAGTATTGTCTAATGAGGGTTTCTTGAATCTGAACTTGAATACGCACAAGCTGCAAGAAAGGCTTTGATAATTACCAGTTAAAACCATTTGCATATAAGCAGTTGCATCACCCACACATACCTCCATCTTCTCCTCCAGCTCATGAAGAAACTCTCCATCGGCTGCCTGGGCAGAGATGCACGAGGCACTCTTGGCTGACAGAATGGCTCGAGCAATATACTCCAGGCGTTGTTTCAGAGAGATTTCAGTACTGCAAAAAATAAACAAATAAAAAGGTTTGAAAAAGTTTAAGTATAGTCAGGAGATGGTACAATAGTAGTACCGTTGTACTACACCTGTGCATGTCTGCAAGGCGGGCCAGGACATGAGCAGCTTTGCCAAAATTCCGGTTCTTTTCATAATAGCGCCATAAGAGGTCCATGTTGTGGACTTTACTCTGGTCCTGTTTAATCATATGCATTAGGTGCTCCTCCAGGTGTGGAGAATTCACCTACACAGCAAAGACAATAAACTACTTAAAACAGGGGTCAAGACAAGGAAATAGAAATGCAATTTACATTATAGGATACACTACAGGTATTTTGGTTAAAGTACCTCAAGCAGCTTGTCAGTCAGGTCAGCCTGAATCAGCCAGTTGTACAGCGCAATGTGAAATAATTCATCTTGAGACCTCTGTGCCAGACCAAGCATTTGCTCAAACTGCAAAAGAAGAGAAATATTAGTTGGTTTAAAATATTCTACACTCATTGAGAAAATCACTAATTACTCACATGTGCAGTAGCCTCTTCATTACTAAGCATGTTGGGGTCAGAGGTCATGACAGGGGGTCCTGGTTGCTTGGGCACACTGGGAGACTGTGGGGCTGCTTTGCTCTGGTTCACAAGCTCCTGCATAGTGTCTGTGATGCATTTGTAACATAAAAGTCTGTGGGGGAAAAAAAGGATTAAAAGAGCTAAAATTTTATCACTCACTCAGATTCTTCCTGATATGTATGGTTTACCTTTCCTGAAAGGCTTGTTGGCCCACTTTGTCATCTTCTGGCTCTCCATTTTTATAGAAATGAGGACCAAGTCTTTGTGGATCTTTTTTATCTGCAGCTGTGAGGCACAACTCCAGAACACCCTCATAGAAACGAACTAACATTTAAACAAACTGAATTAGCAAAGAATGTGAAGCACACAGTAGCAGAAGCTTGCAGTACCTTGTCTGTACTGGGAGCAGACTAAAGACAAGTCTGTATGTTGGCTGATCTGCTGGTAGAGCCGCAGAGACTCCCTGAGGGTTCTCTCCTTGTCTGCTTTAGTCTGAATCTGTTTTGAACTCTGTAGCAACTCATTTGCCTGAGAGAGAGAGAGAGAGAGAGACAAAGCAACAAATATAATGAACACAGTGTGGGAAAAACACTAAGAACATTTTCAAATAGCAGCACAAAATTTAGAGACATTATAAAAGCTATTAATACTGTACCTTGGCACATATGCTGTCATCACTGCTATACAGCAGAGGGCAGAGGTCCCGCAGGTGAGTGCTTATAGCATCCACAGAGGCATTATCTTTAATATACACATTAATGAGGGCTGTGATGAGGGCTCCAGACAGCTCTTTCCCTCGGATCACAACATCTTTAAAACTTACTCCCTTCATTTGCTCCTGAATATCCTAAGTCATAAATTGGAAAGTGAACAAAAAACTCTAAAGAAAGATTGACTTGGGGCTGAAATGCCTGTGTTACCTTGGGCAGCTCAGACATAATGAGGCTAAATTGATGGTCGCACAGAAGCTTCCAGAGAGCCAGTGTCTGATGGGAGCGATGCACCAACTGTTGGATGCCCTGCAGGGACACCTTCTCAAAGAGCTGAGCCTTAGCTACAATTCAAAAAATGACATAACATGTAAAAAAAAAAAAAAAAAAAAAGACATCACAGGTTTTCTTGTGCAAAAGTGGAAGAATGTTCAAAACAATTCATTAAAACTGAAGATAAGAGTAAAGCCATAACTCACTGTGATATTTTCTCTGGAGCTCTTGCTGAACTTGCTGAGTGTTGGCACCATTAGGTCGCATGAATCCCAGCAGCCTCTGCTGTAAATTGGCTGGGGAGCTGAAACTGACAAGGCAAACAGACGTTCATTAAAGGCTGGATTCAAAATTATTCACTTTTTAGGATGCAGACATCCTCAGCATCACACAACTGACCAAATTGAAAACATTTTTTATAACAGTTGCAATGGATCTGAAGAAAACACTACCAGCTCATGAATATTTCTAAATTCTGAGCACAATTTTCCTCTTACCTAACAGCATCAAGAGAGGATGGATTAAACTGAGAGTTTCTATCTAGAAATTCTCGCAGGCCACAGAGCTCCAGGAGCACAGCCTCCAGGTCAAAGGAACTGACGCTGCTTTCCAACTGTAAAAACAACGGTTCATTTATAACACTTGTTGATCAATGCCCATTACACCACCAATCTTAATACAGACAAGTACTTACAATAGTAACATTCTGGCTTCCTTTACTTATTGTTTTCTCAACAGCCAGGCTTCCATCCCATATATTTCTGTTAAAATAAGGACAAATCAAAAATACATATTTAGCTCAACCTTTGCAATCAGAACTAGAGAAATAATTATAAGAATCAACTATCACCTACCCGAGAATGCGAGCAAAATAAATGCAGATGCCATTATGTTTTCCTGAGAAAATCACCTCTGGTCCAGCAGACACTGGTGTCATTGGTGCAGTGCCAGATGGCATGGGTGTGAATGGACTGGCTAATACCGGGGGAACAATACCTGAAAGAAGAAAACATTTTCTTAAAATGCTGCAAGTCAACTCTTAATTAGAGAAGTTTTGAGACTGTAGCACTTCCAACCTGGTGCTGGTGAGCTCATGAGAGGTCCAACGGTGCTGGGATTGGTCATGGCTGCAGGGAACCTCATCTGTGCCTCTCCTCCATATCTGAATGTGGAAATTGAAAATATTGATTTATTTAACAAAATAAAAGTAAGTATATCAAAATAGTGGTCTCTATAAGTGAAACTGCTCTAACCTGAAGAAAGCTCTGGTTGCCCATTGTGAAACCTCTCTATCACATGCAGCAGTAGAGCAAGACAGGATCAATGATGTGGCACAAGCCTGTTCTTCCTGAAACAGTTTTATGTATGAGAAATTAGTCCAAATTAAATGTATAATGGATAATTTCAAAACATTTACCCTGTGAAGCTTAAAGAATCTCTCAATGTCTTCACTTTCACCTCCAGCACAGCTAACCAGCAGGTGACGCAGCTGATCCACTGGACGTAGTTTCTGAAAAATGTGACTTCCCTACACAAAGCCAAAAGCCAGAAATCAGCAAAACTGAAAAATAACAAAGTGATCATTAGTGTTATGAGGTTTCACCTTAGCTGAAAGAAGGACAAATTTTTGTGGAGGGACATTGTGCTGCTGAACAACCACAGGGGCGTCGGTTATAGGAATTTGATCCTTGTTTAGAGGTGTAGAGATCTTGGTTGTTTTTTCTTCATTTAAAGCACAGAGTGCCCAGGAATGACCATCAACATTAGACATCATCTGTAATATATGGAAAGATTTCAATTGGCGTGTAAAGCATTTCTGTTCAGCAACAGTGCCATTCAGGAATAGAATAAAAAAGATCAGTCACCAACCTGAGTTTCCATAAGTGGTTTTTTGAAAGGAAATGAGTCGTGGTTGATGCACCACAAAATATCACTGTCCTCTGTTTCAGAAGCAGCCATAAGCAAAACGCCTGCAAAAACAAAAATGGAATGTTCAAGTGAAAGTGAATTACTTTACCAAGTGTCCACCATGTTCTGTTACCTTTGCTGTAGAGAGCTTTGTGAACCTTTGAAGGTTTCTGAAGTGTTGAAGAAGCAGAGAAACCAGGTGGAAGACGGATGTGAACCAGAGACAGCAAACTTGGCCGAACTGGAAGATGTTTTTGGAGTGCTGGGGCAAATGGGGCTGTAGTGAAATATAGACGCACACCTACAAAACCAAATGACATTTATGAATGAAAATGACGAAACAGCAGGTCTCCCCTCAGGGCTTTATTGCCAGGGCAAGTGGCCACCTTGGCAAAACTTCTCCTCCGTCTTCACAATCCATGCTCTACTTTACTGAATTAATTGAGCTTTATCAGGCTTAAAATGGCCGTGCCTTCACACATGGCTGTACAAGGGTTTTTTGTAAACTCAAACTAGACAATATAAAAATTGCTTACAGATTGCAATGAACTTTATAAGATAGGACCAGCTGTAATATGTATTACCTGCATGTGTAACAGCCAGCAGATGGCAGTCTGATGACTCAGATCTGGGTATCACAGAAATCTGAACAATAGGCTTGAAGACTGAGCGATCAATTGTTCTGTGAGCAAAAACACAATCACACATAGACACTCCAGTTATGTTTCCATGCTTTCTGAGGACTTTACATTCACATACATTTATTTCCTGAGCACCGATTCTAATCTTAACCACAACTTAACCTAAAATCACTCTAACTTATCTTGTCTTAACTTTAGTTTATACTATGTTATTGACCTAGTACTGCTAAGAAAAAAGTGTGGACACACCTGGTATATTATTATCATCCGGTTTGTATTATTCCAGTCCCCATGTGATGAATACCCAATCACAAACATAAGAAATGACTGAATGAAATGAGACCAAGTCAAGCTAAATACCTTTAAAGATTAAAAAAAAATACCTGGCAATATTCCCTGCTGCTGCTACAATGGCATTCTGGGACATAGTTGCCACACGACTCATACCTTGGCCATCAGCACCAAGGTCATACACCTGAATCAATCAGTTTTACCATGTGAGAATGTAGAAACAAAGACTAACATAATAACTGCACAATAACATAAATAAAACATACCTGCAAAACCCCTTTCTCGGATCGAGTAAAAAGGACATTTCGAGAATTATCAATTGCAATCTGCACAATAGGATCTGTAGGAGAGAAAAAATACATTTAAACCCCAAAATATAATATGTATAGAACATAGTAATATATTGTTTTTCCTTATACCATCTTCAGAAAAGGAAAACTGCAGCACTGAGGGAACTAGAAAGGATAGTGTACTCTTTGAATGGTTTATTTTTCTACAGCGCTGGGTCAGCCACCCTGCCTCTGCTTGGTAGGCAATCTCATAAAGACAGCCATCTTTTCCAGCCATAAAGATGCGCCCCAAGTCAGTGGATGTGATAGACAGAATATAGATGTTATCAGTGGGGATTGAAAAGAGTGGGTCTGGAAGCAACTGCATTCCTCCTGACATGCTGTCATTCAAGCCTATAAGACCAAAAAAAAAACACAGGCAACAGGCTGGTTACTACACAGCAATTTAAAAGACAAGAAACACATATTACATATTAAATGTAAATTAACAAATGCAAAAACATTGCCCAGACCTTTACACCTTTGATACCATACCAATGGATGAATGATACATTAAGAATTACTTACCACCCTGGCTTTTGGGAAAACTGAGCCCCAGGATAACAACATCAACAGATGTGGCCAACACTAACAGATAGTGAATATGTGGTTGTAGAATCCCTGGGGAAAAACAATAGCAGGGTGTTATGAGAAAATATACACTCCTTGTTCACAATGCTGAGTGTGTGCACACCTGGTTTTGGTTTTACTAAACCCACAGCTAAAATTGTTTCAATAAGGCCATCAAAATAGGCAACATCTCCTCTGCAAAAAAGTCAGATTGAATGCAATAGATTATTTATAGAGCAACCTCTAGATTCTACAAACAATTTCAGGACAATGCTTCTTTGTAAATAATGTAATACATTTACCCATCTTCATAATTCCACATGAAGATGTCATTGTCGATGGTGAGCCACGCTCTTGAGATTTCGGGAAAAACACCCATCATACAGTTACACTGCATATCTTTGGAAAAGTTAAGAACACAGAACTCCTTGCACAGTGATATAATTAAATAATGAATAAATACAAAGGATACGGCTGAACTGCTCCACCAGTTCTGGAGGAAGAGGAATGCGGCGGACAGCACTGAGCTCTGGGAGGTTTGGCACACTCAGCAAACCCTGCCCTTGTAATGGGTAGTCCATGTCTGATACACCAGATAGAGAGGCCATGTCTAAAACAGAGGATATAAAACCATTCAGACGTTCAACAATCAGCTAATTAATTATACACCTCTCTTTATTTTGATAGACTGTTGAGTAACTGCATTGTGTCTCTGTGTCAGTGGACTGTTACATGAGTAATGTTGACCCCAGTCAAAAAGTATTGTTATGCGCGTGTATTTCCATACTGTGTGAGGGGACGCTCAGTAGCTCGGATAAGTCAGGGAAGCAGCGGTCATCCTGCAGGTGTCTGTCGATCAGCCGTGCGGAGTTCTCCAGCGCTTCGGCGATGGCAGCGGTGGGGCTGCTGGGTCCGACGCTGGACGGCATGGTTGCGATACCGGTTATTTTTCACTAGGAAACATGAACAAATGACAACAGATGTCACAGACAATTTAAGTAATGGGTGCATCTAGTAAATTAAATATATACAGTACATTACAGGCTTGTGCCGTTAGTTTTCTTTTACACAAGTGGTTTGGCAACATAATAGTTAGAATCAAAACGCAAGCTAACTAAATGCTAGTAGGCTATTTTGTCCAATTCATAGAATGTTTTATGAACCAATTACCCCTGTGAAAGACGTCTCGTGAACAATGTCTATGGAAAGTTTTGTCGATCGTTCTAGAATAAAAACTTGGAAAACACTTTATACAGTTGCCCGCCAACCTCATGCAGCTAGTGTTGAAAAGGTATTTCCGGGTCCTTTCTTCCTCTTGTGTTTTACTTTACCATAGCAACGAACGATAGTCGCATATGCTGCCATCATCTGGTCACATTGAAAAATCACAATGATAAAGGATATGGGAAAATCATGAATGTGATTTAATAATCCACAAATAACAAAGGCAGAGGGATGATTTATTGCAGTATTGACTTCAAAGATACAAGGGGAAATATTTTCAGCATTTTCTATATAACATCAAAATATACATTTAAAAACGGTAAATTCCCCTGTATATTGGCACATACTGCTTGGTTTAAAAACAAGGACACATTTACGTGTTGCAGTGTTGCAACTATAAATCCAGAAACAAAAACAGAAAAATGGTAATTTTAAACTCTTGTAAATAAAAGATCTGCTGCTAGTTTAAACTCCAAAAAACACTTTATTAAGAACAGCATGAATACACTAACTTCCAACATTCACTTATTTTTTTACAGAATTATGTTCAGATATAAACATGTTTTAAACTATTATACAGTGGGAGTAAAAATCAAAAACAGAGTTGCTGCACAACAGCGAAGGAACTCCCATACAATGTTTTCCTAAACATTTCCTTCTTATGGTATGCCTCTTTACTCTTAACATTTACATCAGTCTTGTTCTCAAAAGGTCAATGTTAACATACTGCCACTGCCTCATAATGTTAACAGCATAGTTAACATTGTAGGAGTCATTTATTTATTTGATGCATCCTTGGTAGCATAAAGCGCTCGGAGCGCGTGTACTACTTTGTTTGAGAGCTTCTGTCCACTTGTCAGATTTATTTTCCTGTATATAATGTCCGATTCTTTGACAGTGTCGACCCAAGGCACCTTTTTACGACCATCCTTTTTCTTTGCAACTGACCAAGGCCCAGAGTATGTTCCTGTCATCCAGTGTATACTGTAGCCTGTTCTGTTTTTCTCAACAACCCTGGCAATCTGTGGTCGGTCTTTGTATTTAGGACAGAAGGTGGCAATAATGTCCATGACCTCCACGGGTTCATTCTTTTGACCTGAATCCTCAGCTGAATCGCCACCTTTTCTTGGCTTCCTCTGTAAAGTGAAATGTAAAATGTTTAATTTTGTTGGTTTGTTTTATCACTCAAACACAAAGACAAAAAAACAAAATCTTACCGCTGGGGGACTCTCATCCTCACTTTCTTCATCGCTTGTCTCTACTGGAGCTGCTTCAGTGTGATGGTTGTTGCTTTGCAGTTTTGGACCTTTAAGAAGGGAAGTAATGACTTTGTTTTTGGCATTGGCATTAGCTTCACCGTCCTCCTCCTCCTCTTCACGATCCAGATGTTCCATTAGTAACTTGAACTGAAAGATATGATAATCAGTCACAGCATCTTCACTGAGGTGTGTGTGTGTGAGTAAGCAAATTACTTGACATTAACATTCCACAAATTCCACACATCATATTGAAATATATCAAAATCTTGTGATACTTACATCTAAGAACTGCTTCACAATATTTCGCTTGGATTCATAGTTGAGATTTGTGTTAGCGAGATTGGTCTTTAGGAAATCCAGTGTTTGGCGAGGATTAAAATGCACATTGGATTTTCTGTTCACTGCCTTGTCATAGACTTTGGCTGACTCTGTTGGAGAGTATTTCTGGATTTTGCTGCAAAGAAAAAAATTAAGGTTTTATTAATGATATGATTGAAAATATAAACGTAAGTTTATTGTAATTATGTACCTGTCAGAGAAGCCATAGAGATTCTTTAAATGCTGTTTTAGCATCAGCAATAACAGTACACCTTGCGAGGCACTGGCAAAGTCCAGTAGAGGACCAGGGTTTTCAGGTAGACGGTCTAAAATGGCATCTTCGTCGTCCAAATCCGAGTCTGAGTCCACAGACTTGGTTTTCTTTTGGACCACCTCCTCCTCTTCACTGCTGCTGCTGGAGCTGCTGCTGCTTTCCTCACTGCTGTCGTCATCATCTTCAGAGTTATACTTTCTCTTTTTGTGTTTCTTTTTCTTCTTCTTCGCCTTTTCCTTTTTCTTTGCATTTTTCTGTCGGGGCACTGGCTCCTTTCGTAAAGACTGCCCAAATAATTCAGACATAAGTATTCTATTTTGTTTGCCAAATTGCAAAATAAAGTTAAAATAAGTTTGTCTCACCTCTTTAAAGGACTGCAGAAGATTGCTACCAGACACAGACAGAGTGATATCAATATGGTGCATGATAAACAAGGGCTCATCCTGTGTCTGGTACGGAAAGCAGGCCAAGTTGTCTGCTACAAATAGCACCATGTTGACTTCTGTTTTCTGTAGGAGACAAAAATTGAATCATTTAAACTGTGTTAGAGGACAACTTTTAATTTCCAAAGGGTCAACTTACTGTGCTGTCATCAAACAAGTTGAGCAGCGATATGAGGAAAGCTCGTCTGTGCTGTCGGTTTCCACGAACCATTGTGTAGAGATGGGAGCAGAGAGCTGAGTCTTTGTCATCAGGGCGAAAACCTCGAATCACTGCAGTTTTGGATCCGTGTATGGCCTGTTGCACTTGATAAGACATCTTCAAACCAGCAACAGCTTTCATCTGGAGGGCAGACAAGAATTTAGAGTTTTGGTTTTAATATGTGCATAGCGGTAGATAAGGTCTTTATAGAAATTTTCACTTACATGGATGAAACCTGAGTATTTCTTGTCAATCTCCACCAACTGATTGTCCGCCTTGTTTTTCATGGTTGGCTCAGGGTCTGTTCCCATAGCAATCAAGTACGGCACACACTGCAACATACTATCAATAAGAAACTAAAAGTGCAAGAAAAATTACCAAGATCTGAGTTAATTACCTGTACAGGGTGTATAAGCCCCTGACCCAGAGTTAGTGTGATCACATTAAGGGCATAATGGCGCACAGTAGACTGAGAGTGAAAGAAGGACTCCAACACCTGCTTTAAGTAAATCTGCATTATAGAGCTGCTCATGCCTGAGGAGACATCTCCCATTTCCTTCAGATCCTCCTGTTTTGCTGTCTTTTTCCCTAGGTATGCCAAACATCGGATTGATCCAGTTAGAGATTTAAAAGTGGTATTGCTACATTTAATTTGTAATAACCCTAAAACTCACATTCACGATCAGCCTCCTGCATCCGAGAGTCCTCTTCCTGAAGATATGTCTGGAGGTTCTTCAACACTTGTATCTTTAAACTGACTGACACACTTTCATCGGACAGAGTGTTATTATACAAGACCTTCAGATCTTGCACAAACATCAACTCTGGGTACATGATGAATTGGAAGCCTTTAAATAATAAAGTATTACATGTATGAATTTAATGAATATTTTCATATTGAAATCTTCACCAAAGTATTTAAATTTCTACCCAGTCCGATGAGTGCCTTAATCTGCACTTCTTCATCTTGATGATTGGTGAAATACATTAGCAGCTCTAGAACCTTGTCTTTGATTACAATCTGCATTTAAAAATCCAATTAAATACTGTAGAAACTGTACTGGCAAACAGTGAAAGAACAGTGCATTTTACCTTGGTGGTACCCTTGAACTCTTCCAGGTCAAAGTCAAAGTGTCGACATAGAGCCCCAACAGTGAACAGTGAGCGCAGGAGTGTGGGTTTGTTATTGACCAGAGTCGGACTGGTGGAGTCCTCCTGATGTTGGGTTTTCAGTTTTGCCAAAGCCCCTGCAGAAAGGTTCAAAATGAATGTTTTTTGTTTCTATTGAAGAAAAGTTTCCGGTTTAAATACGACTTACCATAGTAGCGATTAAAACAAGCCCAGACAAACTTGTAGTTGTGTGTGACCTTATTCACAACAGCGCCAAGACAACTAACACAGTGTTGGACAACCTGTGGAGCAGTGAATGTAATTGAGACACAGAATATCTTAACGAAAGAGAGCCCACAAATGAATCTGACTCACTGTCATGCCATATTTAATGATAAGCTTCATCAAATCTTCTTCAAGAGTAGTGAGGAAGCCCTCACTGGGGTGCTCCATTAGAGGCACCACAAGCTCCAGGATTTTGGCCACATTACAAATGACCATGAAATCATTCTGAGTCTAAAACAACAATTATGTTTTAGTTAAAAACTTCGATATTCTACAATATAACCAGTAAACTGTATGAATAATTACTAACATTGCACTTAGTTGTCAAATATGGCTGCATTGTCATGGCATGTTTAACCATTAACTGTGGTCGAATCTTGCTAAACAAGTAAAGCGTGGTTATACATGAAACCAGTCGCCCAGAGCTGACCCCTTTGTCCTCTGAAAAAAAAAAAAAAATCCAATCCATTCCATTAAACAAGGACGCAAGCTTTTGTCATGAATATCACAAAAAAATATCTACCTGCAAGAGATTCCTCATATGTCAGGATGTGTTCAACCAGACTATCCACCAGCTGAATACAAGCCTTTTTGGCAGGTTTGTAGGAGGCATTTTCTTCAGACTTTAGCAGCTACATAAAAATACATATTTCATCATGATATAGCACAAAACAGGGGACAACATAACACACACAAAACTTACATTTTGAAGAAGTTGCTCAAACCAGTCATAGCCAGTGTCTTTACATGCCAAGACCTGAAATCCAGTATTGTTATTCAGTCACTCTATTATTTAATATAGAAAGCATGGATAAATATGAAGGAATATATATTTACCACATCTGTAATGTTGAGAATCTTGCGGGTCATTGCTTCTTTATCATGATTCGGTGTTGGAGTGAACCAAAGTTTCTGAAACGTTTCATTGACCAGTTTCTGTTCAAAACATTGAGTTTGCATTAGCTAAATGCTAGCAAAATCAGAAATGCTCAAATAAATGGCATCTAAAATGAAAAAATTAAAACCTTGATGCCCTCTTCATCATTGACTCTGCGGATCATCTTCACACACATCTCAGTGATCTTGTGGAAGTCTGGCAGTTCAAGGCAAATGTCTCTCAGGATTTTTATAACCCTCTTTCGGACACTTATGCCTGTATCCTGTTTAAAAGTAAATATAAAATAAATATTACGGTGAGATTTTGACATCTAACCTTAGTTAATATGAAGATGATCAAACTATTTTTTATAGTTGCAATGCATTAGCCAGTCTGTAGGTGGCAGTGCAGGGAGCAAAGCAATTTAACCTCAGTTGAACTTATGAACTCTGAGTGAACTTTTTAGTGCCAAATTAGTCACTGTGAAGTCATTCTGAAGTGGCACACTGCAGGCCACACTTGAATTGAATATTCGGGACCAAGACATATACAAAACAAGAAAAAAAATTACCAATATTCTTTCAATAAGCATATCATAGTACTGCTCAATAAGTTCAGGGCGACTGAGCACAAAGCGGCCGAGTAACTCCACTGCTGCCTCTCGCACACTGGTGGAGTTGTCCATAAGACGACAGTGGACCCCGCGTTGCATATCCGACTATGATACCAAAAAGAACATTCATTACATTTCTGAAACCATGAAAACAAGTGTATCCATTTTATAATATTGTTAACATACTCGTCCCAAAATGCTTGGATCAACAGCCACTACTTCAGAAAGACATTTCATAGCTTTTGTTCGGACTGCTATCGCACTCTCGCCCAACACCCGTAAAATCTATCAAAAAATAATTGTTTAATTCATTACAAAATTACTCAAACTCGCATCATATGAAGATATATCACTGACAATTTCTTAATGGAAAAAGTGTTACACCTTGGCTTGTGAAAATGTAATATCATGTAAAAATGTAATGTTTTGGTTAAAACCTGATATCGATAAACTCGGTTGGCAGTGTGTTCAATTACCTGTGATAAATATATATCGAAGCTCTGTGCAAAAGGCCTCATGGAGGCCAGATATCTGACAATGAGATTGCAGTCTTCATAGTCCACTACGTCTGAATTCATCCTAAAAAATATAGAAAACATTTACAAAATGTATAATTTCAAGTTTTTGCTATGCAGGTGTTTGGGTTTTGCCACATACTTTAAAGAACTAAAATGAGATGGTGATGTCTTTATGACTTTACGGAGAAACTTCTTCCTTGTCTCTGCTTTGTGCATTATGTCCCCGCTTGATTCAACCTCCTTGGAATAATACTTTGAGTCCTCATCCCTCTCGTTTTGAGATTTCATGGCCTTATCCGCCTCACTTGTTACGTCTCTATACCATTGAGCAATGTAAAAGTTCCTGGCAAACTGTAACAAATGACAACAATATGGTATGTCTTAAAAAAGACACTAAGTATATGTACTGAACTATATTTAATGGTATACACTCACCAGTAAAGATGTGTCTGTCTCCACGTTGTCATCAATATAGTCAAGCAAGGCCTTCTGGAGCTGCTGCACCTCATCATTGCCTGGTGTCTG